CCATGCACAACAACAACAACAACAACCAAGGCAGAACATCCCCCTGCGCAGGAAGGGGCGGCAAGCAAAAGAACAACAACAAAGGCGGAACCATCACGATTCGCAGGCAGGGGCAGCAGGCAGAACAACATCCAAGGCAGAATCATCACGATTTGCAGGCAGGGGCGGCAGGCACATCAACAACAACAACAACCAAGGCAGAACCATCACGATTCGCAGGAAGTGGCGGTAGGCACAACAACAAAAACCAAGGTGGAACCATAACGCTTCTCAGGCAGCAGTGGCAGGCAGAACAACAATAACAACCAAGGCAGAACCATCGCAATTCACAGGCAGGGGCAGCAGGCACAACAACAACAACAACAACAACAACAACAACAACAACATCAACTCAAAATCACCATGCGCAGGCAGGGGTAGGCAGGCACAACAACAACAACCACGGCGGAACTGAAGAGCTAAGCAGGCAGCGGCAGCAGGCAGAACAACAATAACAACCAAGGCAGAACCATCGTAATTCGCAGGCAGGGGCGGCAGGCACAAAAACAACAACAACCAAGGCGGAACATCAACCTGCGCAGCCAGGGGCGGCAGGCACAACAACAACAACAACAACAACAACCAAGGCAGAACCATCACCCTGCAAGGCAGCAGCGGCAGGCACAACAACAATAACAACCAAGGCAGAACCATCACAATTCGCAAGCAGGGGCGGCAGTCACATCAACAACAACAATAAAGGCAGAACATCACCCTGCGCAGGCAGGGGCGGCAGGCACAGCAACAACAACAACCAAGGCAGAACCATCACCCTGCGCAGGCAGGAGTCGGCAGGCACAATAACAACAAAGGCAGAACCATCACGATTCGCAGGCAGGGGCAGCAGGCAGAACAACATCCAAGGCAGAACCATAACGCTTCGGAGGCAGTGGCGGCAGGCACAAAATAAACATCAACCAAGGCAGAACCATCACGATTCACAGGCAGGGGCGCCATGCACAACAACAACAACAACAACAACAACAACAACAAAGGCAGAACCATCACGATTCGCAGGCAGGGGCAGCAGGCAGAACAACATCCAAGGCAGAATCATTACGATTTGCAGGCAGGGGCGCAACAACAACAACAACAACAACAACAACCAAGGCAGAACCATCACGATTCGCAGGAAGTGGCGGTAGGCACAACAACAACAACCAAGGAGGAACCATAACGCTTCGCAGGAAGTGGCGGTAGGCACAAGAACAACAACAACAACCAAGGCGGAACTATAACGCTTCGCAGGCAAGTGCGGCAGGCGCAACTACAACATCAACCAAGGCAGGAACATCACGATACGCAGGCAGGGGTGGGCAGGCACAACAACAACCACGGCGGAACCATCACGATTCGCAGGCAGGGACAGCAGGCAGAACAACATCCAAGGCAGAATCATCACGATTTGCAGGCAGGGGCGGCAGGCACATCAACAACAACAACAACCAAGGCAGAACCATCACGATTCGCAGGAAGTGGCGGTAGGCACAACAACTACAACAACCAAGGTGGAACCATAACGCTTCTCAGGCAGCAGTGGCAGGCAGAACAACAATAACAACCAAGGCAGAACCATCACGATTCGCAGGCATGGGCAGCAGGCACAACAACAACATCCGGGGAAAATCACCATGCCAGGCAGGGGTTGGCAGGCACAACAACAACAACCAAGGCGGAACTATAACGCTCGCAGGCAGCGGCAGCAGGCAGAACAACAATAACAACCAAGGCAGAACCATCATAATTCGCAGGCAGGGGCGGGAGGCACAAAAACAACAACAACCAAGGCGGAACATCACCCTGCGCAGCCAGGGGCGGCAGTCACAACAACAACAACAACCAAGGCAGAACCATCACGATTCACAGGCAGGGGCGCCATGCACAACAACAACAACATCCGGGGAAAATCACCATGCGCAGGGCGGGGTTCGTCAGGCACAACAACAACAACCAAGGCGGAACTATAACGCTTTGCAGGCAGCGGCAGCAGGCAGAACAACAATAACAACCAAGCCAGAACCATCGTGATCTGCAGGCAGGGCGGCAGGCACAAAAACAACAACAACCAAGGCGGAACATCACCCTGCGCAGCCAGGGGCGGCAGGCACAACAACAACAACAACAACCAAGGTGGAACCATAACGCTTCACAGGAAGCAGCGGCAGGCAGAACAACAATAACAACCAAGGCAGAACCATCACGATTCGCAGGCAGGGGCAGCAGGCACAACAACAACAACAACAACATCAGGGGAAAATCACCATGCGCAGGCAGGGGTCGGCAGGCACAACAACAACAACCAAGGCGGAACTATAATGCTTCGCAGGCAGCGGCAGCAGGCAGAACATCAATATCAGCCAAGGGAGAACCATCGCCATTCGCAGGCAGGGGCGGCAGGCACAACAACAACAAAAACGAAGGCAGGAACATCACAATTCGCAGGCAGGGCGGCAGGCACAACAACAACCAAGGCGGAACATCACCCTGCGCAGGCAGGGGCGGCAGGCACAACAACAACAACCAAGGTGGAACCATAACGCTTCGCAGGCAGCAGTGGCAGGCAGAACAACAATAACAACCAAGGCAGAACCATCACGATTCGCAGGCAGGTGCGGCAGGCACAACTACAACATCAACCAAGGCAGGAACATCACGATACGCAGGCAGGGGTGGGCAGGCACAACAGCAACCACGGCGGAACCATCACGATTCGCAGGCAGGGGCAGCAGGCACAACAACAACAAGAACAACAACAACATCCGGGGAAAATCACCATGCGCAGGCACGGGTCGGCAGGCACAACAACAACAACCAAGGCGGAACTATAACGCTTCGCAGGCAGCGGCAGCAGGCAGAACAACAATAACAACCAAGGCAGAACCATCGTAATTCGCAGGCAGGGGCGGAAGGCACAAAAACAACAACAACCAAGGAGGAACATCACCCTGCGCAGCCAGGGGCGGCAGGCACAACAACAACAACAACAACCAAGGTGGAACCATAAAGCTGCGCAGGCAGCAGCGGCAGGGAGAACAACAATAACAACGAAGGCAGAACCATCATGATTTGCAGGCAGGGGCAGCAGGGACAACAACAACAACAACAACAACAACAACAACAACATCCGGGGAAATCACCATGCGCAGGCAGGGGTCGGTAGACACAACAACAACAACCAAGGCAGAATTATTACGATTTGCAGGCAGGGGCGCAACAACAACAACAACAACAACAACCAAGGTGGAACCATAACGCTTCGCAGGCAGCAGCGGCAGGCAGAACAACAATAACAACCAAGGCAGAACCATCACGATTCGCAGGCAGGGGCAGCAGGCACAACAACAACAACAACAACAACAACAACAACAACATCCGGGGAAAATCACCATGCGCAGGCAGGGGTCGGCAGGCACAACAACAACAACCAAGGCGGAACTATAACGCTTCGCAGGCAGCGGCAGCAGGCAGAACAACAATAACAACCAAGGCAGAACCATCGTAATTCGCAGGCAGGGGCGGCAGGCACAAAAACAACAACAACCAAGGCGGAACATCAACCTGCGCAGCCAGGGGCGGCAGGCACAACAACAACAACAACAACAACTACAACAACAACAACAACAACAACCAAGGTGGAACCATAACGCTTCGCAGGCAGCAGCGGCAGGCAGAACAACAATAACAACCAAGGCAGAACCATCACGATTCGCAAGCAGGGGCGGCAGTCACAACAACAACAACAATAAAGGCAGAACATCACCCTGCGCAGGCAGGGGCGGCAGGCACAGCAACAACAACAACCAAGGCAGAACCATCACCCTGCGCAGGCAGGAGTCGGCAGGCACAATAACAACAAAGGCAGAACCATCACGATTCGCAGGCAGGGGCAGCAGGCAGGAACAACATCCAAGGCAGAACCATAACGCTTCGGAGGCAGTAGCGGCAGGCACAAAATAAACATCAACCAAGGCAGAACCATCACGATTCACAGGCAGGGGCGCCATGCACAACAACAACAACAACCAAGGGAGAACATCCCCCTGCGCAGGAAGGGGCGGCAAGCAAAACAACAACAACAAAGGCGGAACCATCACGATTCGCAGGCAGGGGCAGCAGGCAGAACAACATCGAAGGCAGAATCATTACGATTTGCAGGCAGGGGCGCAACAACAACAACAACAACAACAACAACCAAGGCAGAACCATCACGATTCGCAGGAAGTGGCGGTAGGCACAACAACAACAACCAAGGAGGAACCATAACGCTTCGCAGGAAGTGGCGGTAGGCACAAGAACAACAATAACAACCAAGGCGGAACTATAACGCCGCAGGCAAGTGCGGCAGGCGCAACTACAACATCAACCAAGGCAGGAACATCACGATACGCAGGCAGGGGTGGGCAGGCACAACAACAACCACGGCGGAACCATCACGATTCGCAGGCAGGGACAGCAGGCAGAACAACATCCAAGGCAGAATCATCACGATTTGCAGGCAGGGGCGGCAGGCACATCAACAACAACAACAACCAAGGCAGAACCATCACGATTCGCAGGAAGTGGCGGTAGGCACAACAACTACAACAACCAAGGTGGAACCATAACGCTTCTCAGGCAGCAGTGGCAGGCAGAACAACAATAACAACCAAGGCAGAACCATCACGATTCGCAGGCATGGGCAGCAGGCACAACAACAACATCCGGGAAAATCACCATGCCAGGCAGGGGTTGGCAGGCACAACAACAACAACCAAGGCGGAACTATAACGCTTCGCAGGCAGCGGCAGCAGGCAGAGCAACAATAACAACCAAGGCAGAACCATCGTAATTCGCAGGCAGGGGCGGGAGGCACAAAAACAACAACAACCAAGGCGGAACATCACCCTGCGCAGCCAGGGGTGGCAGTCACAACAACAACAACAACCAAGGCAGAACCATCACGATTCACAGGCAGGGGCGCCATGCACTACAACAACAACAACAACATCCTGGGAAAATCACCATGCGCAGGCAGGGGTCGGCAGGCACAACAACAACAACCAAGGCGGAACTATAACGCTTCGCAGGCAGCGGCAGCAGGCAGAACAACAATAACAACCAAGCCAGAACCATCGTTATTTGCAGGCAGGGGCGGCAGGCACAAAAACAACAACAACCAAGGCGGAACATCACCCTGCGCAGCCAGGGGCGGCAGGCACAACAACAACAACAACAACAACCAAGGTGGAAAAATAACGCTTCGCAGGAAGCAGCGGCAGGCAGAACAACAATAACAACCAAGGCAGAACCATCACGATTCTCAGGCAGGGGCAGCAGGCACAACAACAACAACAACAACATCCGGGGAAAATCACCATGCGCAGGCAGGGGTCGGCAGGCACAACAACAACAACCAAGGCGGAACTATAACGCTTCGCAGGCAGCGGCAGTAGGCAGAACATCAATATCAGGCAAGGGAGAACCATCGCCATTCGCAGGCAGGGGCGGCAGGCACAACAACAACAAAAACGAAGGCAGGAACATCACAATTCGCAGGCAGGGCGGCAGGCACAACAACAACCAAGGCGGAACATCACCCTGCGCAGGCAGGGGCGGCAGGCACAACAACAACAACCAAGGTGGAACCATAACGCTTCGCAGGCAGCAGTGGCAGGCAGAACAACAATAACAACCAAGGCAGAACCATCACGATTCGCAGGCAGGTGCGGCAGGCACAACTACAACATCAACCAAGGCAGGAACATCACGATACGCAGGCAGGGGTGGGCAGGCACAACAGCAACCACGGCGGAACCATCACGATTCGCAGGCAGGGGCAGCAGGCACAACAACAACAACAACAACAACAACAACATCCGGGGAAAATCACCATGCGCAGGCACGGGTCGGCAGGCACAACAACAACAACCAAGGCGGAACTATAACGCTTCGCAGGCAGCGGCAGCAGGCAGAACAACAATAACAACCAAGGCAGAACCATCGTAATTCGCAGGCAGGGGCGGCAGGCACAAAAACAACAACAACCAAGGAGGAACATCACCCTGCGCAGCCAGGGGCGGCAGGCACAACAACAACAACAACAACCAAGGTGGAACCATAAAGCTTCGCAGGCAGCAGCGGCAGGTAGAACAACAATAACAACCAAGGCAGAACCATCACGATTTGCAGGCAGGGGCAGCAGGGACAACAACAACAACAACAACAACAACAACAACATCCGGGGACATCACCATGCGCAGGCAGGGGTCGGCAGACACAACAACAACAACCAAGGCAGACTCATTACGATTTGCAGGCAGGGCGCAGCAACAACAACAACAACAACAACCAAGGTGGAAACATAACGCTCGCAGGCAGCAGCGGCAGGCAGAACAACAATAACAACCAAGGCAGAACCATCACGATTCGCAGGCAGGGGCAGCAGGCACAACAACAACAACAACAACAACATCCGGGGAAAATCACCATGCGCAGGCAGGGGTCGGCAGGCACAACAACAACAACCAAGGCGGAACTATAACGCTTCGCAGGCAGCGGCAACAGGCAGAACAACAATAACAACCAAGCCAGAACCATCGCCATTCGCAGGCAGGGGCGGCGGGCACAACAACAACAACAACCAAGGCGGAACATCACCCTGCGCAAGCAGGGGCGGCAGGCACAACAACAACAACCAAGGAGGAACCATAACGCTTCACAGGAAGTGGCGGTAGGCACAACAACAACAACAACAACCAATGCGGAACTATAACGCTTCGCAGGCAAGTGCGGCAGGCGCAACTACAACATCAACCAAGGCAGGAACATCACGATACGCAGGCAGGGGTGGGCAGGCACAACAACAACCACGGCGGAACCATCACGATTCGCAGGCAGGGACAGCAGGCAGAACAACATCCAAGGCAGAATCATCACGATTTGCAGGCAGGGGCGGCAGGCACATCAACAACAACAACAAGCAAGGCAGAACCATCACAACAGTAACAACCAAGGCAGAACCATCACGATTCGCAGGCATGGGCAGCAGGCACAACAACAACAACAACAACAACAACAACAACAACAACATCCGGGGAAAATCACCATGCGCAGGCACGGGTCGGCAGGCACAACAACAACAACCAAGGCGGAACTATAACGCTTCGCAGGCAGCGGCAGCAGGCAGAACAACAATAACAACCAAGGCAGAACCATCGTAATTCGCAGGCAGGGGAGGCAGGCACAAAAACAACAACAACCAAGGCGGAACATCACCCTGCGCAGCCAGGGGCGGTAGGCACAACAACAACAACAACAACCAAGGTGGAACCATAAAGCTTCGCAGGCAGCAGCGGCAGGCACAAAATAAACATCAACCAAGAGGCAGCAGGCAGAACAACAATAACAACCAAGGGAGAACCATCGCCATTCGCAGGCAGGGGCGGCAGGAACAACAACAACAACCAAGGTGGAACCACAAAGCTTCGCAGGCAGCAGCGGCAGGCAGAACAACAATAACAACCAAGGCAGAACCATCATGATTCGCAGGCAGGTGCGGCAGGCACAACTACAACAAAAGTAAAGGCAGAACATCACCCTGCGCAGGCAGGGGCGCCAGGCACAACAACAACAACAACCAAGGCAGAACCATCACGATTCGCAGGCAGAGGCGGCAGGCACAACAACAAAAACAAAAAAGGCGGAACATCACCCTGCGCAGGGGCAGCAGGCACAACAACAACAACAACAACCAAGGTGGAACCATAAAGCTTCGCAGACAGCAGCGGCAGGCACAAAATAAACATCAACCAAGAGGCAGCAGGCAGAACAACAATAACAACCAAGGGAGAACCATTGCCATTCGCAGGCAGGGGCGGTAGGCACAACAACAACAACCAAGGTGGAACCATAAAGCTTCGCAGGCAGCAGCGGCAGGCAGAACAACAATAACAACCAAGGCAGAACCATCACGATTCGCAGGCAGGTGCGGCAGGCACAACTACAACATCAACCAAGGCAGGAACATCACGATACGCAGGCAGGGGTGGGCAGGCACAACAACAACCACGGCGGAACCATCACGATTCGCAGGCAGGGACAGCAGGCAGAACAACATCCAAGGCAGAATCATCACGATTTGCAGGCAGGGGCGGCAGGCACATCATCAACAACAACAACCAAGGCAGAACCATCACGATTCGCAGGAAGTGGCGGTAGGCACAACAACAACAACCAAGGTGGAACCATAACGCTTCTCAGGCAGCAGTGGCAGGCAGAACAACAATAACAACCAAGGCAGAACCATCACAATTCGCAGGCAGGGGCAGCAGGCACAACAACAACAACCAAGGCGGAACTATAACGCTTCGCAGGCAGCGGCAGCAGGCAGAACAACAATAACAACCAAGGCAGAACCATCGTAATTCGCAGGCAGGGGCGGCAGGCACAAAAACAACAACAACCAAGGTGGAACATCACCCTGCACAGCCAGGGGCGGCAGGCACAACAACAACAACCAAGGTGGAACCATAAAGCTTCGTAGGCAGCAGCGGCAGGCAGAACAACAATAACAACCAAGGCAGAACCATCACGATTCGCAGGCAGGGGCGGCAGTCACAACAACAACAACCAAGGCAGAACCGTCACGATTGGAAGGCAGAGGCGGCAGGCACAACAACAAAAACAAAAAAGGCGGAACATCACCCTGCGCAGGCAGGAGTCGGCAGGCACAACAACAATAAAGGCGGAACCATCACGATTCGCAGGCAGGGGCAGCAGGCAGAACAACATCCAAGGCAGAACCATAACGCTTCGGAGGCAGTGGCGGCAGGCACAAAATAAACATCAACCAAGGCAGAACCACCACGATTCACAGGCAGGGGCGCCATGCACAACAACAACAACAACCAAGGCAGAACATCCCCCTGCGCAGGAAGGGGCGGCAAGCAAAACAACAACAACAAAGGCAGAACCATCACAATTCGGAGGCAGGGGCAGCAGGCAGAACAACATCCAAGGCAGAATCATCACGATTTGCAGGCAGGGGCGGCAGGCACATCAACAACAACAACAACCAAGGCAGAACCATCACGATTCGCAAGAAGTGGCGGTAGGCACAACAACAACCAAGGTGGAACCATAACGCTTCGCAGGCAGTAGTGGCAGGCAGAACAACAATAAAAACCAAGGCAAAACCATCACGATTCGCAGGCAGGGGCAGCAGGCACAACAACAACAACAACAACCAAGGCAGAACCATCGCCATTCGCAGGCAGGGGCGGCAGGCACAACAACAACAACCAAGGCGGAACTATAACGCTACGCACGCATCGGCAGCAGGCAGAACAACAATAACAGCCAAGGGAGAACCATTGCCATTCGCAGGCAGGGGCGGCAGGCACAACAACAACAAAAACGAAGGCAGGAACATCACGATTCGCAGGCAGGGCGGCAGGCACAACAGCAACAACAACCAAGGTGGAACCATAACGCTTCGCAGGCAGGGGCGGCAGGCACAACAACAACAACCAAGGTGGAACCATAACGCTTCGCAGGCAGCAGTGGCAGGCAGAACAACAATAACAACCAAGGCAGAACCATCACGATTCGCAGGCAGGTGCGGCAGGCACAACTACAACATCAACCAAGGCAGGAACATCACGATACGCAGACAGGGGTGGGCAGGCACAACAGCAACCACGGCGGAACCATCACGATTCGCAGGCAGGGGCAGCAGGCACAACAACAACATCCGGGGAAAATCACCATGCGCAGGCACGGGTCGGCAGGCACAACAACAACAACCAAGGCGGAACTATAACGCTTCGCAGGCAGCGGCAGCAGGCACAACAACAATAACAACCAAGGCAGAACCATCGTAATTCGCAGGCAGGGGCGGCAGGCACAACAACAACAACAACAACCAAGGTGGAACCATAAAGCTTCGCAGGCAGCAGCGGCAGGTAGAACAACAATAACAACCAAGGCAGAACCATCACCATTCGCAGGCAGGGGCGGCAGTCACAACAACAAAAAAAATAAAGGCAGAACATCACCCTGCGCAGGCAGGGGCGGTAGGCACAACAACAACAACAACCAAGGCAGAACCATCACGATTCGCAGGCAGAGGCGGCAGGCACAACAACAAAAACAAAAAAGGCGGAACATCACCCTGCGCAGCCAGGGGCGGCAGGCACAACAACAACAACAACAACAACCAAGGTGTAACCATACAGCTTCGCGAGGCAGCAGCGGCAGGCACAAAAGAAACATCAACCAAGAGGCAGCAGGCAGAACAACAATAACAACCAAGGGAGACCCATCGCCATTCGCAGGCAGGGGCGGCAGGCACAACAACAACAACCAAGGTGGAACCATAAAGCCGCGAGGCAGCAGCGGCAGGCAGAACAACAATAACAACCAAGGCAGAACCATCACGATTCACAGGCAGGTGCGGCAGGCACAACTACAACATAAACCAAGGCAGGAACATCACGATACGCAGGCAGGGGTGGGCAGACACAACAACAACCACGGCGGAACCATCACGATTTGCAGGCAGGGACAGCAGGCACAACAACATCCAAGACAGAATCATCACGATTTGCAGGCAGGGGCGGCAGGCACATCATCAACAACAACAACCAAGGCAGAACCATCACGATTCGCAGGAAGTGGCGGTAGGCACAACAACAACTACCAAGGTGGAACCATAACGCTCACAGGCAGCAGTGGCAGGCAGAACAACAATAAAAACCAAGGCAAAACCATCACGATTCGCAGGCAGGGGCAGCAGGCACAACAACAACAACAACAACATCCGGGGAAAATCACCATGCGCAGGCAGGGGTCGGCAGGCACAACAACAACAACCAAGGCGGAACTATAACGCTGCAGGCAGAGGCAGCAGGCAGAACAACAATAACAGCCAAGGGAGAACCATTGCCATTCGCAGGCAGGGGCGGCAGGCACAACAACAACAAAAACGAAGGCAGGAACATCACGATTCGCAGGCAGGGCGGCAGGCACAACAGCAACAACAACCAAGGTGGAACATCACCCTGCGCAGGCAGGGGCGGCAGGCACAACAACAACAACCAAGGTGGAACCATAACGCTTCGCAGGCAGCAGTGGCAGGCAGAACAACAATAACAACCAAGGCAGAACCATCACGATTCGCAGGCAGGTGCGGCAGGCACAACTACAACATCAAACAAGGCAGGAACATCACGATACGCAGACAGGGGTGGGCAGGCACAACAGCAACCACGGCGGAACCATCACGATTCGCAGGCAGGGGCAGCAGGCACAACAACAACAACAACATCCGGGGAAAATCACCATGCGCAGGCACGGGTCGGCAGGCACAACAACAACAACCAAGGCGGAACTATAACGCTTCGCAGGCAGCGGCAGCAGGCAGAACAACAATAACAACCAAGGCAGAACCATCGTAATTCGCAGGCAGGGGCGGCAGGCACAAAAACAACAACAACCAAGGCGGAACATCACCCTGCGCAGCCAGGGGCGGCAGGCACAACAACAACAACAACAACCAAGGTGGAACCATAAAGCTTCGCAGGCAGCAGCGGCAGGTAGAACAACAATAACAACCAAGGCAGAACCATCACCATTCGCAGGCAGGGGCGGCAGTCACAACAACAAAAAAAATAAAGGCAGAACATCACCCTGCGCAGGCAGGGGCGGTAGGCACAACAACAACAACAACCAAGGCAGAACCATCACGATTCGCAGGCAGAGGCGGCAGGCACAACAACAAAAACAAAAAAGGCGGAACATCACCCTGCGCAGCCAGGGCGGCAGGCACAACAACAACAACAACAACAACCAAGGTGTAACCATACAGCTTCGCGAGGCAGCAGCGGCAGGCACAAAAGAAACATCAACCAAGCGGCAGCAGGCAGAACAACAATAACAACCAAGGGAGACTCATCTCCATGCGCAGGCAGTGTCGTCAGGCACAACAACAACAACCAAGGTGGAACCATAAAGCTTCGCAGGCAGCAGCGGCAGGCAGAACAACAATAACAACCAAGGCAGAACCATCACGATTCACAGGCAGGTGCGGCAGGCACAACTACAACATAAACCAAGGCAGGAACATCACGATACGCAGGCAGGGGTGGGCAGACACAACAACAACCACGGCGGAACCATCACGATTTGCAGGCAGGGACAGCAGGCACAACAACATCCAAGACAGAATCATCACGATTTGCAGGCAGGGGCGGCAGGCACATCATCAACAACAACAACCAAGGCAGAACCATCACGATTCGCAGGAAGTGGCGGTAGGCACAACAACAACAACCAAGGTGGAACCATAACGCTTCTCAGGCAGCAGTGGCAGGCAGAACAACAATAACAACCAAGGCAGAACCATCACGATTCGCAGGCAGGGGCAGCAGGCACAACAACAACAACAACAACAACAACAACAACAACAACAACATCCGGGGAAAATCACCATGCGCAGGCAGGGGTCGGCAGACACAACAACAACAACCAAGGCAGAACTATAACGCTTCGCAGGCAGCGGCAGCAGGCAGAACAACAATAACAACCAAGGCAGAACCATCGTAATTCGCAGGCAGGGGCGGCAGGCACAAAAACAACAACAACCAAGGCGGAACATCACCCTGCGCAGCCAGGGGCGGCAGGCACAACAACAACAACAACCACCAAGGTGGAACCATCATGATTCGCAGGCACAACAACAACAAAGGCGGAGTCATAACGATTCGCAGGCAGCAGCGGCAGGCAGAACAACAATAACAACCAAGGCAGCACCATCACGATTCGCAGGCAGGGGCGGCAGTCACAACAACAACAACAATAAAGGTAGAACATCACCCTGCGCAGGCAGGGGCGGCAGGCACAACAACAACAACAACCAAGGCAGAACCATCACGATTGGCAGGCAGAGGCGGCAGGCACAACAACAAAAACAAAAAAGGCGGAACATCACCCTGCGCAGGCAGGAGTCGGCAGGCACAACAACAACAAAGGCAGAACCATCACGATTCGGAGGCAGGGGCAGCAGGCAGAACAACATCCAAGGCAGAACCATAACGCTTCGGAGGCAGTGGCGGCAGGCACAAAATAAACATCAACCAAGGCAGAACCACCACGATTCACAGGCAGGGGCGCCATGCACAACAACAACAACAACCAAGGCAGAACATCCCCCTGCGCAGGAAGGGGCGGCAAGCAAAACAACAACAACAAAGGCGGAACCATCACAATTCGGAGGCAGGGGCAGCAGGCAGAACAACATCCAAGGCAGAATCATCACGATTTGCAGGCAGGGGCGGCAGGCACATCAACAACAACAACAACCAAGGCAGAACCATCCCTATTCGCAGGAAGTGGCGGTAGGCACAACAACAACAACAACCAAGGTGGAACCATAACGCTTCGCAGGCAGCAGTGGCAGGCAGAACAACAATAAAAACCAAGGCAAAACCATCACGATTCGCAGGCAGGGGCAGCAGGCACAACAACAACAACAACAACAACATCCGGGGGAAATCACCATGCGCAGGCAAGGTTCGGCAGGCACAACAACAACAACCAAGGCGGAACTATAACGCTCGCAGGCAGCGGCAGCAGGCAGAACAACAATAACAGCCAAGGGAGAACCATCGCCATTCGTAGGCAGGGGCGGCAGGCACAACAACAACAAAAACGAAGGCAGGAACATCACGATTCGCAGGCAGGGCGGCAGGCACAACAACAACAACAACCAAGGCGGAACATCACCCTGCGCAGGCAGGGGCGGCAGGCACAACAACAACAACCAAGGTGGAACCATAACTCTTCGCAGGCAGCAGTGGCAGGCAGAACAAGAATAACAACCAAGGCAGAACCATCACGATTCGCAGGCAGGTGCGGCAGGCACAACTACAACATCAACCAAGGCAGGAACATCGCGATACGCAGGCAGGTGTGGGCAGGCACAACAACAACCACGGCGGAACCATCACGATTCGCAGGCAGGGGTAGCAGGCACAACAACAACAACAACAACATCCGGGGAAAATCACCATGCGCAGGCACGGGTCGGCAGGCACAACAACAACAACCAAGGCGGAACTATAACGCTTCGCAGGCAGCGGCAGCAGGCAGAACAACAATAACAACCAAGGCAGAACCATCGTAATTTGCAGGCAGGGGCGGCAGGCACAAAAACAACAACAACCAAGGCGGAACATCACCCTGCGCAGCCAGGGGCGGCAGGCACAACAACAACAACAACAACCAAGGTGGAACCATAAAGCTTCGCAGGCAGCAGCGGCAGGCAGAACAACAATAACAACCAAGGCAGAACCATCGCGATTCGCAGGCAGGGGCGGCAGTCACAACAACAACAAAAATAAAGGCAGAACATCACCCTGCGCAGGCAGGGGCGGCAGGCACAACAACAACAACAACCAAGGCAGAACCATCACGATTCGCAGGCAGAGGCGGCAGGCACAACAACAAAAACAAAAAAGGCGGAACATCACCCTGCGCAGCCAGGGGCGGCAGGCACAACAACAACAACAACAACAACAACAACCAAGGTGGAACGATAAAGCTTCGCAGGCAGCAGCGGCAGGCACAAAATAAACATCAACCAAGAGGCAGCAGGCAGAACAACAATAACAACCAAGGGAGAACCATCGCCATTCGCAGGCAGGGGCGGCAGGCACAACAATAACAACCAAGGTGGAAACATAACCCCCTGCGCAGGCAGGGGTGGCAGGCAGAACAACAACAACAACCAAGGCAGAACCATCACGATTCGCAGGCAGGTGCGGCAGGCACAACAACAACGAAGGCGGAACATCACCCTGCGCAGCCAGGGGCGGCAGGCACAACAACAACAACAACAACAACCAAGGTGGAACGATAAAGCTTCGCAGGCAGCAGCGGCAGGCACAAAATAAACATCAACCAAGAGGCAGCAGGCAGAACAACAATAACAACCAAGGCAGAACCATCACGATTCGCAGGCAGGTGCGGCAGGCACAACTACAACATCAACCAAGGCAGGAACATCACGATACGCAGGCAGGGGTGGGCAGACACAACAACAACCACGGCGGAACCATCACGATTCGCAGGCAGGGACAGCAGGCACAACAACATCCAAGGCAGAACCATCACGATTCGCAGGAAGTGGCGGTAGGCACAACAACAACAACAACCAAGGTGGAACCATAACGCTTCGCAGGCAGCAGTGGCAGGCAGAACAACAATAAAAACCAAGGCAAAACCATCACGATTCGCAGGCAGGGGCAGCAGGCACAACAACAACAACAACAACATCCGGGGAAAATCACCATGCGCAGGCAGGGGTCGGCAGACACAACAACAACAACCAAGGCAGAACTATAACGCTTCGCAGGCAGCGGCAGCAGGCAGAACAACAATAACAACCAAGCCAGAACCATCGTAATTCGCAGGCAGGGGCGGCAGGCACAACAACAACAACCACCACCAAGGTGGAACCATCATGATTCGCAGGCACAACAACAACAAAGGCGGAGTCATAACGCTTCGCAGGCAGCAGCGGCAGGCACAACAACAACAACAACCAAGGCAGAACCATCCCGATTGGCAGGCAGAGGCGGCAGGCACAACAACAAAAACAAAAAAGGCGGAACATCACCCTGCGCAGGCAGTAGTTGGCAGGCACAACAACAACAAAGGCAGAACCATCACGATTCGCAGGCAGGGGCAGCAGGCAGAACAACATCCAAGGCAGAACCATAGCGCTTCGGAGGCAGTGGCGGCAGGCACAAAATAAACATCAACCAAGGCAGAACCACCACGATTCACAGGCAGGGGCGCCATGCACAACAACAACAACAACCAAGGCAGAACATCCCCCTGCGCAGGAAGGGGCGGCAAGCAAAACAACAACAACAAAGGCGGAACCATCACAATTTGGAGGCAGGGGCAGCAGGCAGAACAACATCCAAGGCAGAATCATCACGATTTGCAGGCAGGGGCGGCAGGCACATCATCAACAACAACAACAACAACCAAGGTGGAACGATAAACCGACGAAGGCAGCAGCGGCACGCACCAAATAAACATCAACCAAGAGGCAGCAGGCAGAACAACAATAACAACCAAGGGGAGAACCATCGCCATTCGCAGGCAGGGCGGCAGGCACAACAATAACAACCAAGGTGGAAACATAAAGCCGCAGGCAGCCGCGGCAGGCGGAACAACAATAACAACCAAGGCAGAACCATCACGATTCGCAGGCAGGTGCGGCAGGCACAACTACAACATCAACCAAGGCAGGAACATCACGATACGCAGGCAGGGGTGGGCAGACACAACAACAACCACGGCGGAACCATCACGATTCGCAGGCAGGGACAGCAGGCACAACAACATCCAAGGCAGAATCATCACGATTTGCAGGCAGGGGCGGCAGGCACATCAACAACAACAACAACCAAGGCAGAACCATCACGATTCGCAGGAAGTGGCCGTAGGCACAACAACAACAACAACCAAGGTGGAACCATAACGCTTCTCAGGCAGCAGTGGCAGGCAGAACAACAATAACAACCAAGGCAGAACCATCACGATTCGCAGGCAGGGGCAGCAGGCACAACAACAACAACAACAACAACAACAACAACAACAACATCCGGGGAAAATCACCATGCGCAGGCAGGGGTCGGCAGACACAACAACAACAACCAAGGCAGAACTATAACGCTTCGCAGGCAGCGGCAGCAGGCAGAACAACAATAACAACCAAGCCAGAACCATCGTAATTCGCAGGCAGGGGCGGCAGGCACAACAACAACAACCACCACCAAGGTGGAACCATCATGATTCGCAGGCACAACAACAACAAAGGCGGAGTCATAACGCTTCGCAGGCAGCAGCGGCAGGCACAACAACAACAACAACCAAGGCAGAACCATCCCGATTGGCAGGCAGAGGCGGCAGGCACAACAACAAAAACAAAAGGCGGAACATCACCCTGCGCAGGCAGTAGTTGGCAGGCACAACAACAACAAAGGCAGAACCATCACGATTCGCAGGCAGGGGCAGCAGGCAGAACAACATCCAAGGCAGAACCATAGCGCTTCGGAGGCAGTGGCGGCAGGCACAAAATAAACATCAACCAAGGCAGAACCACCACGATTCACAGGCAGGGGCGCCATGCACAACAACAACAACAACCAAGGCAGAACATCACCCTGCGCAGGCAGGGGCGGCAGGCACAACAACAACAACAACCAAGGCGGAACCATCACGATTCGCAGGCAGGGGCAGCAGGCAGAACAACATCCAAGGCAGAATCATCACGATTTGCAGGCAGGGGCGGCAGGCACATCATCAACAACAACAACAACAACCAAGGTGGAACGATAAAGCTTCGCAGGCAGCAGCGGCAGGCACAAAATAAACATCAACCAAGAGGCAGCAGGCAGAACAACAATAACAACCAAGGGAGAACCATCGCCATTCGCAGGCAGGGGCGGCAGGCACAACAATAACAACCAAGGTGGAAACATAAAGCTTCGCAGGCAGCAGCGGCAGGCGGAACAACAATAACAACCAAGGCAGAACCATCACGATTCGCAGGCAGGTGCGGCAGGCACAACTACAACATCAACCAAGGCAGGAACATCACGATACGCAGGCAGGGGTGGGCAGACACAACAACAACCACGGCGGAACCATCACGATTCGCAGGCAGGGACAGCAGGCACAACAACATCCAAGGCAGAATCATCACGATTTGCAGGCAGGGGCGGCAGGCACATCAACAACAACAACAACCAAGGCAGAACCATCACGATTCGCAGGAAGTGGCCGTAGGCAGAACAACAACAACAACCAAGGTGGAACCATAACGCTTCTCAGGCAGCAGTGGCAGGCAGAACAACAATAACAACCAAGGCAGAACCATCACGATTCGCAGGCAGGGCAGCAGGCACAACAACAACAACAACAACAACAACAACAACAACAACATACGCTGAATATCACCATGCGCAGGCAGGGGTCGGCAGACACAACAACAACAACCAAGGCAGAACTATAACGCTTCGCAGGCAGCGGCAGCAGGCAGAACAACAATAACAACCAAGGCAGAACCATCGTAATTCGCAGGCAGGGGCGGCAGGCACAACAACAACAACCACCACCAAGGTGGAACCATCATGATTCGCAGGCACAACAACAACAAAGGCGGAGTCATAACGCTTCGCAGGCAGCAGCGGCAGGCACAACAACAACAACAACCAAGGCAGAACCATCACGATTGGCAGGCAGAGGCGGCAGGCACAACAACAAAAACAAAAAAGGCGGAACATCACCCTGCGCAGGCAGGAGTTGGCAGGCACAACAACAACAAAGGCAGAACCATCACGATTCGCATGCAGGGGCAGCAGGCAGAACAACATCCAAGGCAGAACCATAACGCTTCGGAGGCAGTGGCGGCAGGCACAAAATAAACATCAACCAAGGCAGAACCACCACGATTCACAGGCAGGGGCGCCATGCACAACAACAACAACAACCAAGGCAGAACATCCCCCTGCGCAGGAAGGGGCGGCAAGCAAAACAACAACAACAAAGGCGGAACCATCACAATTTGGAGGCAGGGGCAGCAGGCAGAACAACATCCAAGGCAGAATCATCACGATTTGCAGGCAGGGGCGGCAGGCACATCATCAACAACAACAACAACAACCAAGGCAGAACCATCACGATTCGCAGGAAGTGGCGGTAGGCACAACAACAACAACCAAGGTGGAACCATAACGCTTCTCAGGCAGCAGTGGCAGGCAGAACAACAATAAAAACCAAGGCAAAACCATCACGATTCGCAGGCAGGGGCAGCAGGCACAACAACAACAACAACAACATCTGGGGAAAATCACCATGCGCAGGCAGGGGTCGGCAGGCACAACAAGAACAACAACAACAACAACGAAGGCAGAACCATCACGATTCGCAGGCAGGGCGGCAGGCACAACAACAACAACAACAAAGGCGGAACATCACCCTGCGCAGGCAGGGGTGGCTGGCACAACAGCATCATCAACAACAACCAAGGCAGAACTATCAGGATTCGCAGGCGGGGTCGTCAGGCACAACAACAACAACAAGAACCAAGGCGGAGCCATCACAATTCGCAGGCAGGGGCGGCAGGCACAACAAGAACAACAACAACCAAGGTGGAACCATAACGCTTCGCAGGCAGCGGCAGCAGGCAGAACAACAATAACAACCAAGGCAGAACCATCACAATTCGCAGGCAGGAGCGGCAGGCACAACAACAACAACAACAACAACGAAGGCGGAACATCACCCTGTGCAGCTAGGGGACGCTGGCACAACAACAGCAACAACAAAAACAAAAACAAAGGAAGAACCATCATGATTCGCAGACAGGGATCGGGATCCACAACATCAACAACAACCACAACCAAGGCAGAACTATCACGATTCGCAGGCAGGGTCGGCAGGAACAACAATAACAACAACGAAGGCAGAACATCACCCTGCGTAGGCAGGGGTCGGCAGGCACAACAACAACAACAACAACAACAACAACCAAGGCAGAGCTATCATGATTTGCAGGCTGGGGTGGCAGGCACAACAACAACAAGAACAACAACAACAACAAAGGCAGAACCATCACAATTCGCAGGCAGGGTCGGCAGGCACAACAATAACAACAACGAAGGCGGAACATCACCCTGCGCAGGCAAGGTCGGAAGGGACAACAACAACAACGAAGGCAGAAAAATCACGATTCGAAGGCAGTGGCGGGATGCACAACAACAAAAACAACAACAACGAAGGCTGAACCATCACCATTTGCAGGCAGGGGTCGGCAGCCACAACAACAACAACAAAGGCGGAACCATCACGATTCGCAGGCAGGGGCGGCAGGCAGAACAACAATAACAACCAAGGCAGAACCATCACGATTCGCAGGCAGGTGCGGCAGGCACAACTACAACATCAACCAAGGCAGAACCATCACGATTCGCAGGCAGGGGCAGCAGGCACAACAACAACAACAACAAAAACATCCAGGGAAGATCACCATGCGCAGGCAGGGGTCGGCAGACACAACAACCACAACATCAACCAAGGCAGGAACATCACGATTTGCAGGCAGGGGTGGCAGGCACAACTACAACATCAACCAAGGCAGAACCATCACGATTCGCAGGCAGGGGTTGGCAGACACAACAACCACAACAACAACCAAGGCGGAACTATAACGCTTCGCAGGCAGCGGCAGCAGGCAGAACAATAATAACAACCAAGGCAGAACCATCACAATTCGCAGGCAGGGGCGGCAGGCACAGCTACAACATCAACCAAGGCAGGAACATCACGATTCGCAGGCAGGGGTGGCAGGCACAACAACAACATCAACCAAGGCAGGAACATCACGATTCGCAGGCAGGGGTGGCAGGCACAACTACAACATCAACCAAGGCAGAACCATCACGATTCGCAGGCAGGGGTGGCAGGCACAACAACAACAAAGGCGGTACAGCACCTTGCGAAGGCAGGGTTCGGCAGGCACCACCACAACAACCACAACAACAAGGGCGGAACCTAGGCGGAACCATAACGCTTCGCAGGCAACGGGGGCAGGCACAACAACAACAACGAATGCGGAATATCACTCTGCGCAGCCAGGGGCGGCAGGCACAACAACAACAAAAACGAAGGCAGAACCAAGACGATTTGCAGGCAGGCAGGCAGGGGCGGCAGGCAGAACAACAACAACAAACACGCGGAACATCACCTTGCGCATCATCAACAACAACCAAGGCAGAACTATCAGGATTCACAGGCGGGGTCGTCAGGCACAACAACAACAACAAGAACCAAGGCAGAGCCATCACAATTCGCAGGCAGGGGCGGCAGGCACAACAAGAACAACAAAAACCAAGGTGGAACCATCACGATTCGCAGGCAGGGGTGGCAGGCACAACAACAAGAAAGGCGGAACATCACCTTGCGAAGGCGGGGTTCGGCAGGCACAACAACCCCCACCAATGCGGAACCATAATGCTTCGCAGGCAACGGGGTCAGGCAGAACAACAAGAAAGGCGGAACATCATCTTGCGAAGGCAGGGTTCGGCAGGCACAACAACAACAACCAAGGCGGAACCATAACGCTTCACAGGCAGCGGGAGCAGGCAGAACAACAATAACAACCAAGGCAGAACCAACACAATTCGGAAGCAGGGGCGGCAGGCACAACAACAACAACAAGCAAGGCAGAACCATCACAATTTGCAGGCAGGGGTGGTAGGCACAACAACAAAGAAACAACAACAACATAGGGGGAACATCACCCTGCACAGCCAGGGGCGGCAGGCACAACAGCAACAACAACGAAGGCAGAACAATCACGATTCGCAGGCACGGGTTGGAAGGCACAAAAACAACAACAACAATGAAGGCAGAACCATCATGATTCGTAGACGGGCAGAAGGCACAACAACAAAAACAAGAACAACAATGAAGGCAGAACCATCACAATTCAGAGACAGGGGCGGCAGGCACAACTACAACATCAACCAAGGCAGAACCATCACGATTCGCAGGCAGGGGCAGCAGGCAGAACAACATCTAAGGCAGAACCATCACGATTCGCAGGCAGGTTTGGCAGGCACAACAACAACAAAGACAAAGGCGGAACATCACCCTGCGCAGGCAGGGGTCAGCAGGCACAACAACAACAACAACCAAGGCAGAACCATCACGATTCGCAGGCAGGGGCAGCAGGCACAACAACAACAAAAGGCGGAACATCACCCTGCGCAGGCAGGGGTCGTCAGGCACAACAACAAAACAACAACAACAATGAAGGCAGAACCATCACAATTCAGAGGCAGGGGCAGCAGGCACAACTACAACATCAACCAAGGCAGATCCATCACGATTCGCAGGCGGGGTCGTCAGGCACAACAACAACAACAAGAACCAAGGCAGAACCATCACGATTCGCAGGCAGGTTCGGCAGGCACAACAACAACAAGGACAAAGGCGGAACATCACCCTGCAAGGCAGGGGTCAGCAGGCACAACAACAACAACAACCAAGGCAGAACCATCACAATTCGCAGGCAGGGGTCGGCAGGCACAACAACAACAACAGCAACCAAGGCAGAACCATCACGATTCGCAGGACGGGGCGGCAGACACAACAACAACAACAACCAAGGCTGAACCATCACGATTCGCAGGCAGGGGTGGCAGGCACAACAACAACAACAACAACAACAACAACAAAGGCGAAACATTTCCTTGATCAGGAAGGGGTGGGAGGCAGAACAATAACAACAACCAACGCAGAAGCCTCACGATTCGCAGGCAGGGGCGGCAGACCGAAGAACAACAACAACAAAGGCAGAATATCACCCTGCGCTGGCAGGGGCAGCAGCCACAACAACAACAACAATCAAGGCAGAACCATCACGATTTGCAGGCAGTAGCGGCAGGCAGAACAACAACAACAACCAAGGCGGAAAATCATCGTGTGATGCCAGGGGCGGCAGGCAGAACAACAACAACCACAACCAAGGAGGAACATCACCCAGTGCAGGCAGGGGTGCGCAGCCACAACAACAACAACAACAACAACAACAACCAAGGCAGAACTATCATGATTTGCAGGCAGGGGTGGCAGGCACAACAACAACAACAGAGGCGGAACACCACCTGCGCAGGCAGGGGTCGGCAGGCACAACAACAACAACCATGGCAGATCCATCACAATTCGCAGGCAGGTGCGGCAGGCACAGCAGCAGCAGCAACAACAACAACAAAGGCAGAACATCACCCTGCGCAGGCAGGGGTCGGCAGGCACAACAACAACAACAACCAATGCGGAACATCACCCTACGCAGCAAGGGGCAGCAGGCAGAACAACAACAAAGGCAGAACCATCACGATTCGCAGGCAGGGGAGGCAGCAACAACAACAACAACAACAACAACAACAACCAAGGCAGAACCTTCTCAATTTGCAGGCAGGGGCGGCAGGCGCAACAACAACAACAACCAAGGCGTAGCATCACCCTGTGCAGGTAGGGGCGGCAGGCACAACAACAACAACGAAAGCAGAACCATCACAATTCGCAGGCAGGAGCGGCAGGCACAACAACAACATCAACCAAGGCAGAACCATCACGATTCGCAGGCAGGGGTCGGCAGGCACAACAACAACAACAACAACAACCAAGGCGGAACCATCATGATTCGCAGGCAGGGGCAGCAGGCAGAACAACAATAACAACCAAGGCAAAACCATCGCAATTCGCAGGCAGGGGCGGCAGGCAGAGGAACAACCAAGTTGGAAAATCATCGTGTGCAGGCAGGGGCGGCAGGGAGAACAACAACAACAAAGGCGGAACATCACCCTGCGCCGGCAGAGGCGGCAGGCAGAACAACAACAACAACCAAGGCAGAACCATCACGATTCGCAGGCAGGGACTGCAGACCGAAGAACAACAACAACAAAGGTGGAACATCACCCTGCACAGGCAGCGGCGGCAGGCACAACAACAACAACAACAACAACCAAGGCAAAACCATCACGATTCACAGGCAAGGGCGGCAGGCACAACAACAACAACGAAGGCAGAACCATCACCCATCAACCAGGGCACACGAATACATCCCTGGCCAGGGCAGAAGAAGAAATCGCTGGCCGGCCGGGCACAACAAGAAGAAATATGTGGCTGGCAGGCCACAATAAGAAGAAATCCCTGGCCAGGCAGGGCACAAGAGGAAATCCCCAGCCAGGACACAAGAAGACGAAATCTCTGGCTGGGGCACAACAAGGAAAAATCCCTGGCCAGGCGAGGCACAACAAGAAGAAATCCCTGGCGATCTTCCGGCTCTGGTGCTCTCAAGTGGTGGGTCGGGGAATTTGTTCTGCCTTAGTGTAGCATTTCCAGTCATGCTGAACGCGTGTAATAAGGGGGAGCAAGGGTGACGTGAACCCCTAGAAAGGTCTGAGAGGAGGTCTCAGATCAAAAAAGGCACCAAGCAGCGCAGAAAGGGATCCTCTGTCATTCCAGCACAGTTTAAGTGGGGGAAGTCAGAGGGATCTCAGCGCAGGAAGGACGCAAGCCTGACTGTGAAACGCCCTGAGACCCCAAGGAGAAAAGCACCAGGTTACTCCATATGGCAGACGGTGGGTACAAACGCACTCCCGTATTTCTGAAGACGAAACAACAAAAATCAATAGAAAGGGAGAGCAGAATTCTTACGGGGAAATAACAAAGACGGAGTGACAAAATAAGGCTGAAGGAGGTCCAGATAATACCAGAAAAAGGAAGTGTGATTACTTCTCACAGACTCATAAATTCATACAAATGAAATATTAAAAGTAATTCCTATCAGGACCTCAACTGACAAATAATCCCACGACCTGAATTAATTGATAGACTTTGGGATATAAAATTAATACTGGAAAACAATTATTGTAGCTTCTTGGTGGATAAAATAGATAATCAACTTGGAAATTGATTTGAATTACATAAAAATAATGATATCCAAGACAACATTGAGTCAAAAATATCAAACCACATTAACATCTGCGACGGGACTTCAAGTTAGAAGACGATCAGCCGCAGAAATTCATCCTAATGCAGATGTGAAAGAACTGATAATGGGAATGAACAGAAATTTAAATGATAAATTAGACTCACTTCAAGAATCATTGGAAGGTAAAATTGTACAGAACTCTAAGCTAATTTTAGATTTAACAACTCAAATACAGGAATTAAATACTAAAACTAAGGACTTGGACAAATCTGTACAAGATCTTAAAGGTAAAGCTAATAAACAAGAAGTGTCTAAGAATTTGCAAAATGAAAATAAAGAAATAAAAAAAATACAGGAAGCAACAAATGAAGAAATATTAGAATTAAAGAGAACATACGAAGAAATCCAGGATGGAATTGCTATGTTGAAATTACACCAGCGGGAGCTGATTCTCCACTTTTGCAGTGTACCGGAATCCCAAGGAGAAAGAATAGCTGAGAAGCTGATTCAAGAACTTGCAAACTAGCTGGTGGTACAAGAAGATGAGATGCTGCTGGACATTGACAAAATCTTCCGGGTTAGATCTGAAACATCAAAGACGTTTAAAGGCCCAGGAGACTGCTTAGTATTCCTTAACTCAAGAGTTCTAAAGGATAAAATACTACAAAAAAGGGACAATCTAAATTAATAATTGATGACAAGAACATCATAATTCATAAAGAAATCCCTAAAAGAATTCTGAGGGAAAGGCAAAATTATAAAGTCGTGACAGATGCACTCAAGAAAAAATCGATCAGATTATCGCTGGGAGTTCCCGGAGGGAATCACGTTTACCTACAAGGACAGAAGAAAAACTCTTAGGACACCAGAGGAGGCCGGAAAATTCTGGAGAAGGTACAAAAAGGAGCTGGGGAGATGAGGAGACTCAGGACCGGAAAGAGACCACGAAACCCAAGAACTTCAAGAAAGCTAGTGAAGACAAGTAACAATAAAAACAGAGACAAAGAATCAAGAAGATACAAAATTATTTTTCTGTTAAAAATATCTCTTCTTTACACTTCTTCTCCTAAAGATACTATACCAGGAAATAAACAGTTATAAAGTTTAATGGAGCTATGGATTATATCATGGAATGTTAACGGTTTAAATGATAAGAGGAATAAGATAGAGCATATACTAAAGAAAAAACAATGGGATGTTATCTGCCTGCAAGAGACCCACGTAGCTAAGAAGCATTAAAGGGTTTTAGAAAATAAAAAACTAGGTCAATAATCTGTCTCCCTAGATATTAAAAAGAAAAGGGGAATTGTAATTTATGTAAACCCAAAATTGGAATCAAAACAAGTTTTCAAAGACCATGACAGTAGGATATTGGGAGTTCAGGTTACTAGAGGGAATGAACAAATAATCATTGCAGGCGTATATGCATGTAATGGAAATACAGTGGTGCCTCACAAGACGAAATTAATCCGTTCCGCGAGTGTCTTCGTCTAGCGGTTTTTTCGTCTTGCGAAGCAACCCTATTAGCGGCTTAGTGGATTAGCGCTATTAGCGGTTTAGCGGCTATTAAAGGCTTATCGGCTTAGCGGATTAGCTGCTAAAAGGCTATTAAAGGCTTAGCGGTTTGATAAAGGGGGAAGCGAAAAAATCTCAAGACTCGCAAGACATTTTCGTCTTGCGAAGCAAGCCCATAGGGAAATTCGTCCTGCGAAGCAACTCAAAAACGGAAAACCCTTTCGTCTAGCGGGTTTTCTGTCTTGCGAGGCATTCGTCTTGCGGGGCACCACTGTAAGACAATCTTCTTTAGGGAAGTAGAGTGCAAGCTACTTGAATATATAAATGAGGAGATTATCCTTATGGGAAATTTTAACGGTGTTACATCTATTGATCAAGATAGAACAAAAAAGAGAGAGAAAATCCAAGGGAAGGAGATTACCATCTACCTTCTTTCATATGAGAGAAAACCTAAACCTAACGGATGTATGGAGATACAAAAACCCAAACGAAAGACAATACATTCATTTCTTGGAAGCTCGGCAATCAGGGGGAAGACTAGACGCAATATGGGTAACAAACAAGTTATTAATGAAAACTAAAAAAGTTAAAATCCAACCCAAAATACCCAAAATACTAATGGATCACAACTCAATTACATTAGAACCTAGCAGTTCGAAAGCACGTCAAAGTGCAAGTAGATAAATAGGTACCGCTCCGGCGGGAAGGTAAATGGCGTTTCCGTGCGCTGCGCTGGTTCACCAGAAGCGGCTTAGTCATGCTGGCCACATGACCCGGAAGCTGTACGCCGGCTCCCTCGGCCAATAAAGCAAGATGAGCGCCGCAACCCCAGAGTCAGCCACGACTGGACCTAATGGTCAGGGGTCTCTTTACCTTTAAAAGGTAACACAAGTTGTACGGAGGAAATACCTTTAGTTCAAGAACCACATCTAATCACTCCTATTTGTGTGAGAAACATGTTTATGATTAAGGTTTATCTCCTCTGAGAAGTAACCTCTCAGTTTCCACCTTGTTCCGGTCTGTTTCTCCAAATTATTTCAGCCAAGTTACGGGCAGCAAAGGTAAACTCCTCGAGGGTTAAACTCAGCTTGCCAGACAAAACACTTTTCAAAGCATCAAGTACACTTTGTAGTTCTCATATTAGCTAATTAAATTTAAGCTTCCAAGACAGCTCAGACCTAAATGAAAAGCTCAGACCTTGGGGTCGTAGTGAAGGTGTTGGCCTGTGGGCAGCAGTTGTGGGGGGAAAGAAAAAATCAAGCTAGGTATTGTTCAGAAAGGAACTGAAAATAAAGCTGCATATATTATAAGGCCATTATATAAACCAGTCTTATTTTTCTAGGAAAAGAGGTGCTGGAACTCACCAAAAACGCCTCCCTCCCTTATTCTCTTATAATGGCAATGGCATCCACCTGAGAGGCAATATGTCGTTGTGAGTTCCAAAACTTCCCTCTTCCTCTAGCATAGGAAAAGACTACACATTTGGTAAGTTGATAAATGGTTTACTTACAAACTCTTCAAAGGTCAGTTTCAGTTGCAGAAAGTTGCACAGGCAGTAAAACTTAGCTTAGTTGAGGGTGATAAAAGTTCCTAGATGATTAGCATAGGATAGAGGGGATTGTAAAAGCCATGCGGTCTGAGCTGGAGCAACTGAGTTTCGGCTGGGAAAAAAAGCCCTGGGTGCAACCACAGCTGGATTGGGAATGTGTTGTTTAGTCGTTTAGTCGTGTCTGACTCTTCGTGACCCCCTGGACCAGAGCACACCAGGCACTTCTGTCCTCCACTGCCTCCCGCAGTTTGGTCAAACTCATGCTGGTAGCTTCGAGAACACTGTCCAACCATCTCATCCTCTGTCGTCCCCTTCTCCTTGTGCCCTCCATCTTTCCCAACATCAGGGTCTTTTCCAGGGAGGTGGCCAAAGTATTGGAGCCTCAGCTTCAGGATCTGTCCTTCCAGTGCACACTCAGGGCTGATTTCCTTAAGAATGGATAGGTTTGATCTTCTTGCAGTCCATGGAACTCTCAAGAGTCTCCTCCAGCACCATAATTCAAAAGCATCAATTCTTCGGCGATCAGCCTTCTTTATGGTCCAGCTCTCACTTCCATACATCACTACTGGGAAAACCATAGCTTTTACTATACGGACCTTTGTTGGCAAGGTGATGTCTCTGCTTTTTAAGATGCTGTCTAGGTTTGTCATTTCTTTTCTCACAAGAAGCAGGCATCTTTTAATTTCGTGGCTGCAGTCACCATCTGCAGTGATCATGGAGCCCAAGAAAGTAAAATCTCTCACTGCCTCCATTTCTTCCCCTTCTATTTGCCAGGAGGGGATGGGACCAGTGGCCACGGAGACTCTCAGCCGCTCTGTATTAATCATGAATAATGCCAGGTTCAGGGTGGCGCTGTGGGTTAAACCACAGAGCCTAGGACTTGCTGATCAGAAGGTCAGCGGTTCGAATCCCCGCGATGGGGTGAGCTCCCGTTGCTCGGTCCCTGCTCCTGCCAACCTAGCAGTTCGAAAGCACATCAAAGTGCAAGTAGATAAATAGGTACCGCTCCGGCGGGAAGGTAAATGGTGTTTCTGTGCGCTGCTCTGGTTCGCCAGAAGCGGCTTAGTCATGCTGGCCACATGACCCGGAAGCTGTACACCGGCTCCCTCGGCCAATAAAGCGAGATGAGCGCCGCAACCCCAGAGTCGGTCACGACTGGACGTAATGGTCAGGGGTCCCTTTCCCTTTAATGCCAGGTTCACTTGATTACATCAAGGCAGGCTATAAAAGCCATAAGTGGGAGGGGCCCAGTGAGCTTCTGCCCAGATCAAAGGACCTGATGCTGGGAGACCGACGGTCAGCGTCTTTCTCCTGCTGCTCTACCTGGGGCTCCAGGCAGCTGAAGGGGAGATTGGGTAGCCCCTGTCGGGTATGTTTTATGTTATGCTTTGTATGCCTGCTGTTTATTTGTTAATAAAACTGTTTCGGTTCCCCTTCCACCTCCTCATTCCTTTTGTTCTGAGATCCTTGGAAAGAACTGCTGTATTTAGCAGCACATGCAGAAGTCGTGGAGATCCCATGAAGCTGGACGTTGGAAGACTCAGGACATATATGAATCGGCACATAGTTCATGCAGCACATAGTTACTCTCACTCCCACAGGAGGCAGGGATGGCTTTGAAAGAGGACCGGACAAATTCAGGCAGGATGAGGCTATCAGTAGTGACTGCCCAGGATGGCTAGGTTCTTCGCCAAGTGTCAAATTAGCTCATTTGCCAGCAACCAAAATTGCCTAGAATAGAATTTACCACTTAGAAAGCTTTGCAAAGTAAATGTTTCAGTCTGCAGTTCAAATCTTTAAAATGTGGCTGCATGAGACATTTTAATTATCTTTACTGTTAGCACACATTTAGAAACATGATCCACAGGAACACAAACATTAAAATATCTAACTTCGGCTTCCTTGTCTTTCTTTCCATGTCGTGTAGAGACGTGAGGGCGGGGGCGGGGGGATTATTTATTTTGGTTTGCATTTTAATGAGAGGATCCCAAATTTGCATGTCCCAAATCAATGCATGAATCAAAACGCTGCTCTCCTTTGATATCTGCACTTCTCCAAATCTAACAATGCAGTTCTTGAAGCGAAGATGTAAAGAATATGAACACTCGTGGAAAAATACAGAAATAAATTTTATAAAGAGGATGCTATCTGCAATCGTGCCTATACTACACTAAACTCTTTATAAAATACATCTATTACGAGAAACAAGTGTAAAAATACACTTGAATTTTCAGGCAGACAGAAGAAGAATTCAAGACGCATTGTGCTGGTCCCGGGGGTTAATCAAGAGGCAAGGTCCAAGTCCAGTCCGTGGTCGAGGGTGCAGTATGGAGGCAGTCTGTCAAAGCTGAAGCTGGGTCCAAGGCAGGGAGTCGGTTGAGGTCAAGAGCAGGACAGGGTGCAGGCAGGAACTGGATACCAACAATGTTGCTCCCACAACTTGGGACTGGGGCTGACTGGCTTTTATCTGCCCCGAGGCATAGGGCGGCCCTGGTCCACAGGTGACTCGCCTCTCCTGGTCTGGAGGCCAGCACTCCTCCTGCAGGAACTTAGTTCCCTCCGCCTCTCTGCCCTGAGCCTCTGCAGCTCAGGAGAGGCTGGAGGGTTACCGGACCCAGAGGCAACCTCAGCTTCCCCTGACGGGGCTGAGAGTGGAGCACCTGCAGGCAATGGGTCCTCCATCACCTCAGGAGCCAGAGCAGACTCAGCTGGTGCCTGCACCTGAGGATCCAGAACAGGTGAGGACCTTTCAGGCTCAAGCCCCAGCCCCGGTTCAGCTGGTTCTGGAGGCGGGGAATCCTGGGCAGGCTGGGATCCCTCAGGTTCAGCCTCCGAGTCCGAATCCCCGGCCATCACACGCATAAAAGAAGCACATTAAGCTGCACACTTAAACTGTGGAACTGGCTCCCAGGAAGAAGGCTACCAATGACAACTTGTCACGATGGCTATATTTTGCTTCTGTATGTTTTGTTTCCCCACAAGATGGGAAAGTGCTCATGTGCTTGGTGGCTGCTGTGAGCACAAGAGACTATTTGTTAAGTTTTCTGTTTTACAATTAAAACACTCATCTTACATCCTTAAGATATCAATGACTTCCCTTCTTTTTCCATGGTTCATTTTACATATCAGAAGTCCCTGCATCTTTTACAAAAACTATACCATTCAGTTGAAAAGAACCAGAAATGCTCACTAGCTGCTCTCCAGTCCTTAGGGGATTCCGTGAGTCCACCAGGTGAAAGGATTCCCTGCGGTCAGAGGGTTTTAAGAAAACAGGCAAGACCAAGGCAAAACCTAAAGCAAAGTGGCTAAGAAGCCTGACCTTTATTTGTAAGCAAAACTGCTATAGCAGGACCAGCAATAGAAGAATGGCAGATGAAGATGTTGGACTTTTTGGAGCTGGCTGACCTGAATGGAAGAATCCGCGACCAGAAGGAAGAGGAATATCAAGAAAACTGGAAGAAATTCAAAGAATATTTAACCAAATATTGTAACATAAGATAATTAGAAATCACTTGGAAGTATCAAATAGGCTTAGGATTAGATTAAGAACGACTTGTAAAGAATTACAGGGAACCAGGCAGAGGGCCTTCTCGGTAGTGGCGCCCTCCCTGTGGAACACCCTCTCACCTTTCATCATCACTACATCGTTTCTACATCATCAGAAGGGGAGGTAAATGGGCAGAGCCTGGGTGTCAGGTAGCTATCCTTCCTGCCTTTTACCCATCACCTGACACCCGATAAAAACAAGACAATAAATCTATTTACACTTCCTGACCCAACCGGTTAAGTTGCTCACTATCCTTTTTGTTCTCCGGAGTCAGAATCCATTCTTGGGCTGCTGTAGCTCTTTGTGATCTTGATGGCTACCTGTCTGGCACTTGGGTTAGGTGTGATAAGAATTTTAAGGTCTTTGATATGTAATAAATGTTCATAAATGTACCAAGCAAACACGTACATAAATATATAAACCACATGTCTGAAAACCCCACAGAAAAAAAGTCCTGAACAAATTGACGTCAATTATTTCTCTGCAAGGTCAAAGTGGGAAACCTCCCCATTGTCTTTTTCTGGTCTCTTGTCTCATCATTTGGGGTAAAGGGGTAGGCACCACAGACAGGGTTTAGCGCGTGTGCCTGCAATAATTGCTGGCTAATCTGTCTTCTCTCCCCCCCCCAACAGGAACAGCTTTGCGAAAAGAATGCAACAGCTACTTGACTCAGGACATCTATGGATTTCCGCTGGAATGTTTGTGGCCCCTTGCAGTCTCATCTCCTGATGCACATTTACTAGTAGTCTCAGTGTCTGCATCTAATGAATAAACTATTGTCAGTTACCCTGCCTGGTGTCATTTCTTTCACTGAATGTGTGAGGTATATCAGTGTAGTGTATCAGAAGGCTTATGGAGTCACCTTTATGCAATTGTGGTCCCCGCCCCCCCAGGAATAAAGTAGAGTTTATGATGTACAGGACTCCTTCATAGTAACATCTCATATAAACGTACAAGGTTGCCCCCCCCTTCATTGAGTTTGTTGTTGTTGTTGTTTAGTCGTTTAGTCGTGTCCGACTCTTCGTGACCCCATGGACCAGAGCACACTAGGCACTCCTGTCTTCCACTGCCCCCCACAGTTTGGACAGACTCATGTTTGTAGCTTCGAGAACACTGTCCAACCATCTCGTCCTCTGTCGTCCCCTTCACCTTGTGCCCTCCATCAGAGTCTTTTCCAGGGAGTCTTCTCTTCTCATGAGGTGGTCAAAGTATTGGAGCCTCAGCTTCAGGATCTGTCCTTCCAGTGAGCACTCAAGACTGATTTCCTTCAGAATGGATAGGTTTGATCTTCTTGCAGTCCATGGGACTCTCAAGAGTCTCCTCCAGCACCAGAATTCAAAAGCATCAATTCTTCGACAGTCAGCCTTCTTTATGGTCCAGCTCTCACTTCCATACATCACTGCTGGGAAAACCATAACTTTAACTATACAGACCTTTGTCAGCAACGTGATGTCTCTACTTTTTAAGATGCTGTCTAGGTTTGTCATTGCTTTTCTCCCAAGAAGCAGGCGTCTTTTAATTTCGTGGCTGCTGTCACCATCTGCAGTGATCATGGAGCCCAAGAAAATAAAATCTCTCACTGCCTCCATTTCTTCCCCTTCTATTTGCCAGGAGGTGATGGGCCCAGTGGCCATGATCTTCGTTTTTTGATGTTGAGCTTCAGACCATATTTTGCGCTCTCCTCTTTCACCCTCAATAAAAGGTTCTTTAATTCCTCCTCACTTTCTGCCATCAAGGTTGTGTCATCTGCATATCTGAGGTTGTTGATATTTCTTCCAGCAATCTTAATTCCGGCTAGGGATTCATCCAGCCCAGCCTTCCGCATGATGAATTCTGCATATAAGTTAAATAAGCAGGGCGACAATATACAGCCTTGTCGTACTCCTTTCCCAATTTTGAACCAATCAGTTGTTCCATATCCAGTTCTAACTGTAGCTTCTTGTTCCACATAGAGATTTCTCAGGAGACAGATGAGGTGATCAGGCACTGTGTTTAGTGCAGTGTAATTCCATTATTTTTGATTTTTATTTATTTATTATTAAATATTTTTCTTTTGCTTCATGGGGATGGGGAAGTGATGACAATGTACAATGCAAAAAAAAATTGCATTAATTAATAGCAACATTTTTATTGTCATTCTGCAGCTGTGTTACATAATCAAAGTCGTGAAAACCAAAGTACAGCTCCCCATTCCCACATAATAATGGTAGGCATTTATATAAATGAGGGGCAGTTATTATGAAACTATTATTATTATTAGTTATTAGCGCAAACTCCGCTTTGGGATTTATTGGAATAAAAAGCAGCAGAGAAATAGAATCAATCAATCAATCAATCAATCAGGGTGAGGGGTGTGGCCTGGGGAGATTTTAGAGGGCTGGACTTGGAGCGCCACATTCGATCCCAATTGGACCCCAAGTGGCGCCAATGGAAGAGCTACTACGCCAACCCTGCAATGCAGACCAGCCGAACCAAACCGAGCCGCACCTCGGCTTCCAAACAGACCCGGAAGCTGCAGCTGTTTGGTAACATCTACCGCTTACACCTCTATGGCGACGGATGGAGCGAGGCGTGGTTTCCTGACTAGGCAATTTCCCCCTCACAGAAACTACAAATCCCGAAGGCCTTTGCGGTTCCCCACGACCATCCCCCAAAGGGGGCGGGATCTAGCCGCGCCGCTTCCGGGCGTCTGTGTCGCTGTTGCCGGAAGCGAAGGTGCGTCGCCCAGGCCGGGCCTCTGCGTAAGGCCGAAGGACCCCCGGGCGCGTTGCTAAGGGCGACCGAGGTGCCGTTGCTGGGATTTTCTGGGCCTGGCGGGAGAGATGGGCGAGCCGGGCCCCGCCGCCGCCGCCGCCGCCTCGGCCAGAGCGCTGGTGCCAGTCCCGGCCGAGGCGGGCGCCGTGGCTGTGGTGAAGGAGGCGGCCCAGGAGGCCCCCAAGAGCAGCAAGAGGGTCCTGGACGAGGAGAGCTACATCCAGGCGAGCGAGGGGAATGGGAGCGGGGGTCTGGTGGGAGTGTGGGGGTCTGGCGGGGTGAGGGGTCCGGTGGGAGGGGGGGTCTGGTGGGGTGGGGGGTCCGGTGGGAGTGGGGGGGTCTGACGGGGTGGGGGGGTTCAGTGGGACGGGGGGTCTGGCGGGATGAGGGGTCCGGTGGGAGGGGGGGGGGGTCTGGTGGGGTGAGGAGTCGGGTGGGGGGTCGGGGGTCCGGTGGCAGCGGGGGTTCATTGGGAGTGGAGGGGTCTGGTGGGGTGGGGGGTCTGGCGGAGTAGGGGTGCCTGGCAGGGTGAGGGTACCACTGTATGCAGTTTTGACCATTGAAGAGATGCCTGGCACGTAACCGCTGTGTAAGTTGCAGGCCTTCTCTCTCTCTCTCTCTCTCTCTCTGTATACATTATATTTTTTCCCTTGCCAAGCCTACATCACAGGGTTGTTGTTATTATGCTTACTGTATTTATATTCCACCCGTTAACTGAAGATCCCTGTGGGTTTTTTGTTTTCGCAACAACACAATGGTGTGGGAAAGCAGTTTGGACATGGGTGGGTTGGGCAGGTCCTTGGTGGGATGTTTAATGTATTGAAAATAAATAAAATTAAATAAATACATACACTAGAAGGGTGGTAAGGAAGGGAGCATTGCAGAACAACTGACAGACGTTGGACTTGGACCTTCAGGTGTTGGCTTGCTTTAGAAGCAATATCCTGCACATACAGTGGTACCTCGGGTTAAGTACTTAATTCGTTCCGGAGGTCCGTTATTAACCTGAAACTGTTCTTAACCTGAAGCACCACTTTAACTAATGGGGCCTCCTGCTGCTGCCGCGCCGCCGGAGCACGATTTCTGTTCTCATCCTGAAGCAAAGTTCTTAACCTGAGGTACTATTTCTGGGTTAGCGGAGTCTGTAACCTGAAGTGTATGTAACCTGAAGCATATGTAACCCCGAGGTACCACTGTATTTCTTTAGAAGATAAATAAGTAAATCTGGGTGATGCCAACAGACAGACTTTATAAAGTCATAAGTCTGCTCGTCATGATGGCTGTTTTCTATCTCCACTGGTGACGGTGGTTACATTACAGTGGTGCCTCGCAAGACGAAATTAATTCGTTCCGCAAGTTTTTTCTTCTTGCGAGTTTTTCGTCTTGCGATGCACGGTTTCCCATAGGAATGCATTGAAAATCAATTAATGCGTTCCTAGGAGACCGACTTCAGACCAGGTCCGGGGACAGTCTGTCCCCCGACCTCTTCTGAAGGCTGGGGGGACAAGGGCTTTCTTCCCACCCACCCCAGCATTTTAAAAACCCGGGACAGCGGAGGGCTTCTCCGCTGTCCGGGGCGATCTTAAAATGCTGGCGGGCGGCATTTAAAATTGCCCCGGGACAGCGGAGGACTTCTCCGCTGTCCGGGGCAATTTAAAGCCCCTGGGAAGGCAGGCAGGGGGACAAAGACTTTGCCCCCGCCAGCCTTCAGAAGAGGTCCTGGACCTCTTCTGAAGGTTGGCGGGGGCGAAAGTCTTGTCCCCCACCTGCCTTCAAAAGCTGTCCAGCCAAGGCTTCGCGGACCTCTCCGCAAGCAGCGGCAGCACTGCCGCTGCTTGCGGAGAGTTGCCGGCATGCCGAAGCCTGCGCGCGCTGAGATCAGCGCGCCCAGGCTTCGCGGACCTCTCCGCGAGCAGCGGCAGCGCTGCCGCTGCTTGCGGAGAGTTGCCGGCATGCCGAAGCCTGCGCGCGCTGAGATCAGCGCGCCCAGGCTCCGCGGACCTCTCCGCGAGCAGCGGCAGCGCTGCCGCTGCTTGCGGAGAGTTGCCGGCATGCCGAAGCCTGCGCGCGCTGAGATCAGCGCGCCCAGGCTTCGCGGACCTCTCCGCGAGCAGCGGCAGCGCTGCCGCTGCTTGCGGAGAGTTGCCGGCATGCCGAAGCCTGCGCGCGCTGAGATCAGCGCGCCCAGGCTCCGCGGACCTCTCCGCGAGCAGCGGCAGCGCTGCCGCTGCTTGCGGAGAGTTGCCGGCATGCCGAAGCCTGCGCGCGCTGAGATCAGCGCGCCCAGGCTCGCGGACCTCTCCGCGAGCAGCGGCAGCGCTGCCGCTGCTTGCGGAGAGTTGCCGGCATGCCGAAGCCTGCGCGCGCTGAGATCAGCGCGCCCAGGCTCGCGGACCTCTCCGCGAGCAGCGGCAGCGCTGCCGCTGCTTGCGGAGAGTTGCCGGCATGCCGAAGCCTGCGCGCGCTGAGATCAGCGCGCCCAGGCTTCGCGGACCTCTCCTGCCTTCAAAAGCCGTCCGGGATAGCGGGAAGCGCTTCCCTGCTATCCCGGACTGCTTTTAAAATGCTGGCGGTGGGGAGCAAAGCCGTTAGGCCCCCGCCAGCCTTCCTGGTCCACTTGAGAAGGCCGGAGGGGGAAGGCTTTGCTCCCACCGCTAGCATTTAAAAGAGGTCCCGGAGATTTCCCTATGGGCTTTCGTCTTGCGAAGCAAGCCCATAGGAAATTCGTTTGCTGAAGCGCCTCCAAAACGGAAAACCCTTTCGTCTAGCGGGTTTTCCGTCTTGCGAGGCGTTCGTCTTGCGGGGCACCACTGTAATTTAGGCCAGCTGAGTTTTGGATCAAAACCTTTGTTTCTTGGGGTGCAAAACAAGGCATTTATTTATTTATTCATTTGAATTTATATGACGCCCTATACCTGCAGGTCTCGGGGTAGTTTCTCAGGTACCTTGTAAGATGGAATACATTGCTAAGGTGTCACAGCACATGGGTTGAAGTTTTGACAGGCCTGGGCCAGCAAGCCGCTTTACTTAAGCTAAATTTCTGAGGATCCTGCCACGCAGACCACAAAATTAGATTATGTGTTCCTTTAATTTTTTTATTTTCCTCCTACCCTGAAACATTGTTAATTTGGTGTTTTGCAGAGCCTGGAGAAAATCATTCAAAGGGACTTTTTCCCTGACGTTGAGAAATTGCGTGCTCAGAAGGACTATCTAGATGCTGAAGAAAGTGGTGATTTGGAGAAAATGAGGCAGATAGCCATCAAATTTGGCTCTTCCTTGGGGAGAACTTCCAAAGACACCCCTGCACCATGTAAGAATTTATTTGGATCCTGATCCTTGGATTATTGGTGTTGTTTGTCATAGAGTTTTGAACATGTTCCTTTGTCATTTTGGGGGTGTCTTTATGATTTGCAAAGAATACCCAGTAGAGCAATTTTATATGCATTGCCAAAACCTAATATAATGCTGCTGACGGGGCCAGAATACTCTTTGGGGTTTTTTGCATGGTTTTTTTCTTTTTCATTTCAGTCTTTTCTGTTTCTCGAAATAGTTAGAGGCAGCATTTATGGAACCTTTGGCCCTACAAGTGTTGCTGATCTACAGCTCCCATCAGCAAGTGTGGCCAGGGGTGATGGGATTTGTAGTCCAGCAACATCTGGTGGGCCAAAGGTTCCCTACACGTGATATATGATATCCCCCTTTTATCCTGTGAGGTAATTAGGTGGATGGGGGTTGTGTTAATCAAATACACACACTATACTTTGTGGCTCAGTGGATATTTGAACCGGTGCCTTGTCTATGCTGGCTCTCAGAACAATACATTCCTAAGTCATTGCTTTTTCAAAAATGCTTTTGAACAGATGTTACTCCAGCCACGTTTGAAACGCCCGAGGTTCATCCCGGTGACCCCTCCACATTGAATAAACCCAAGCTCCCAGTAAAAACTACAGAGGAAGGTAAGAAATTCTCATTTTGCTTGTTTGGGTTGTTCTATATGTTGCTGTTTGGTTTCAGGGCTGAGAAGAATGTGAAACAATTCCTCCTGGTATCCTTAGCATTAAAAATTGGGGGAGGGGGTGCAGTTTGGTGATATAAGAGCACATGGTTTACACGCAAAAAGATCTCAGGTTCAATCCCTGTCATCTCTAGTTGTATTGTGTCGTAGCTTCTGGTATCCTCATTGGTGCCTTGTTTAAAGGCATGGGGAAATCCATCATTTGAAGGACTGAGGCAGGACTTCAAAGTCTTACCTGTGTTTGCTTCCTCCCCCCTTTCCTAAAGGTGAAACGGAGGAAGAAGAGAGCAAAGATGCTCTGCCCAGCCTGGACAGCTTCTTGGCAAAACACACCAGCGAGGATAACGCTTCTTTTGAGCAGATCATGGACGTGGCAGAAGAGAAGGAGAGAGCCAGGCATTCATGGCTCTACGATGCAGAAGAGGAATTTGCCCAGGTGCGGGAAAGAGCTTTGTGTATCTCCATTATTTAAATAGCTCCATGTAGGAGACTGATCTTCCATTGGTAAGAGAGGTCCACCAACAAAGCCCTCCCTTAAGACTTTTAGATTGCGTTCTCTTCTGAAATGATCACCTATGGTCCTGAAGCATATGCAGCAAGCTCACTCTAGCCAAGCAATCTGGTCATGGTGAAGTGCTTGGGGCCTGTAGATGAACCGGTATGTGCCATACACACACTCTTGACTTCTAATGGGAAAAAATGAGGTTAAGCCATGTTTCGACACCAACCGTTACACAAAGTAATATAGTAAGGCATGCATATCTTACACCGTATTTTTCGCTCTATAAGACGCACTTTTTCCCCTTCAAAAATTAAGGGGAAATGTGTGTACGTCTTATGGAGCGAATGCAGGCTCCTTGGCTTCAGCGATAGCAACGCAAAGCCTCCGGAGTGCAGAGGGAGGCTGTGCTCCGGGGGCTTCAGGCAGATACCCGCAAGCCTTCGGAGTGCAGCGAGAACTCCTGCTGTGCTCCGAAGGCTTGCGGATAGCCGCCTGAAGCCTGGAGAGCAAGAGGGGTTGCTGGAGAGGCACTGCACAGTTTTCCCTCTCTGCGCAGCACCCCTTCAGTGAAGCGGAAGGAGAAATGGAAGGGGCTCCATTTCTCTTGCCGCTTCGCTGAAGGGGCGCTGAGAAGAGAGGGGGAGAATTTTTTTCCCCCTGTTCTCCCCCTCCTATGGTCCGATGCGTCCTATAGAGCGAAAAATACGGTAATTATTATAAGATAATTATATACTCCCCAAGTAAATTGCAGGCCCACTTAATTTGCACCTTTTCACTCTTATGTACTACCGTTTGTGCCCATCACTAAAGATCTCTGTCAAATCTGTTTCAGCGGCACCAGGAGCAGCTGGCACTTCCGTCAGCAGAAGAGCAGCAGGCCCTGGCGAATGGGAAAGCTGGGGTGGAGACATGGGAGTACAAGGCTAAGAATTCCCTCATGTATTACCCACCAGGTGAGCTCAGTGATGTCGCAAGAGTCTCCAGCAAATGGAGACAGCCAAATGGACCAATAGCTGTAAGTGTGTGTTTGTATGTGTACACACACACACGCCAGACAGGATTCTCTGCATCTTCTTCCCTGTGTGTCTTCTCATATTTCCATACCTTTTCAGAATTAATAATTTTGTTGGGCCTAATTGGTCATTGCTGCCTTTGAGGTGCTCTTTCTGAGTTCTAATATTATGGGTTGGGGGGGGGATACTGATTCATTCCCTGCACCATTGAGAGATGAGCATGGACGTGTAATTGTGAGAAAACTCATCCTCTATTCTTCAATTTGAGTTTTCACTCTTGACTTACGGGAGTACAGTTTTCTTTTAAAATTGCAAATGGCAAGACTTTTGTTTGCTGCTTTGATATCAGGCCTCTGGTCTGATGCTAATGTTCTGCCTTTTCCAGGTGTTCCCGAAGAGGAGAATGTGTTTAAAAAGCCACGGGAAGTTGTCCACAGAAACACCCGTTTCCTGAAGGATCCGTTCAGCCAAGCCTTGAGCAAATCCCAGCTCCAACAGGCAGCAGCCCTCAATGCTCAGGTTAGAGAGCTGATTTAACTTTCCCACATCCTCTTTATTTGAAATCGGTGTGTTTCCTCTACTTACAGATGGATACATTTAAAATTATATATTCCACCCACCCCCCATACATGCAGCTGAGGGAAAATTCTACCCTTACTAGCTTTAAGCAGAGCATCTTTAAAGTCTTTCAATTGATTAAATGCAATTTTAAATAGGAAAGAGAAGGCTGGTGAGTTCCAGTGGAGAGAGCCTCTTGCAGAAGACTTTGCATTACTGTATTTTAATATTTGGTAGGAAGCCACCCAGAGTGGCTGGGGAAGCCCAGCCAGATGGGCGGGGTATAAATAATAATAATAATAATAATAATAATAATAATAATAATCGGTGGAGGAAGATTGGAAGAAATTCAAAGATTATCTACAGAAACACTGTAAAATTAAAGAATGCTAGAGTGATGTTGGATGGAAAATAAGTGGTTTCCAGCTGTACAGGATTTAAAGTTATAGATAGATTAAGATTAAAGATTAGGATTAAAGAAGTTTAAGGAAATGGAAACTTGGTATTTTAAGAGGTAAAATTTTAATGCTATATTATATTAAAGATTAAAGATTGGGATTAAAAAAGTGGAAAAGAAATTGCTGGACAAACAATTTGGACTGGAATACAAAAGAGGGAGGTATGAGGAGGTCCAGAAAATAAGTAAATTTAAACAAGGAAATGAAAAGGTGAGTGGTTTTAAGTGTTCGGTTTCTTTTTTCGTTTTTTTGTTCTCTGTGGTTTTTTTTTTTTTCCTCTTCTTTGGATTATGTACTGTGTATTTGTGTATTTCTTTTTTATGTTTTTCTGTTTAATCTTTTACTGAAAACTTAATAAAAATTATTTATAATAATAATAATAATAATAATAATAATAATAATAATTTGCTATCCTCTGTTTATATTGACCGTCAGTGGTTGCATTTGCATTTTGCATAAAACCATGTTGAATGAACAGGAGGTAACCACAGCAAGCAATGGATGCGAACACCTTTGCTCCTTGTTCAGCTGCGAGGATGACTTTGAAAGCTTTTACTCCTCCCCTATTAATCACAGCTTGCCATATCACCCAGACAGGGGATCATGATCAGTTGCAAAACAAGCCAGCTTCAGATGTGGGTGTTGAAGGTGACTTGATTACAACTATTGTATTGTATTTAGTGCATTTCTATACTTCTCAGTTGTTGGCCTTTGTCAGTGATGTACATAAAAATTAACCATGCAGAGAGTAAATCAATAAAAATCATAAAACCAAACAGAAATGCAAACACTACCTTTTAATGCCTGCTTGAATAAGAAAGCCTCTGTCGTGCATCTTAAGTTCAGCCAGCCAGGAGAGCACCTGTCTAATTCAGTTTGGAGGGAGTTGCAAGGCTTATGAGCCGAGCAGTTCAGCCACAGGGGACCTCCAGCTGAGACTCCCCCAAGGATTTTAGTGATTAGACAGGGATAAAAAGGATCAGTCTGTTCTTAACATATCCTGGACTAAGTTGCTAAAGGGCCTTGTAAATGAATACAAGAACCTCAAATCTGGCTCAGAAACATTAAACCACAATTCCTTGTCTGGATGACAGAAAAAGCTAGGTTTAAGTAAAACCTATGAGTAAAAGCTTTTGAAGTCTCTCTGCCAGCCATCGAGAGGGGGAGTGTGTGATCCGAAGGATTGTTGTGGATCTTCCTTGCTTATGTGCAGCGTGCTAAATCTTGGTTTAGCATCAGGTGCAAATATGACCAGTGAAGTATATTGCCAAACATTATAAAATAAATGATCAAGTATCAGTTTAAGACAAAAAAGAAGATTTTTTTATTGAAGGTGGGGAGGGGGGAGCTTGATGCATGATCTGCCTTAGAGGAGTTAAAGAGTGAGAGCCTATGTACTAGATGGTTCAGGATTAAGTGGTATAAATATTTGAAATAATTTTTTTAGAAAATTATAAAATGTTAAGCAAGCTTTTTGGATCTGTGTAAGCAATTGTTACCAAACTTCTCTTTTTTTCCTTTGCGAAATCTAGTACAAGCAGGGTAAAGTAGGTCCTGATGGGAAGGAGCTCATACCCCAGGAATCTCCAAAGGTCAATGGATATGGATTTGTGGCCACACCCTCCCCAGCTCCCGGTAAGAAGAGGCGGGCGGGGAATACCGAGAATTGTGTTGTAGAAAAATAAATTAACTTGCAGTTAGACAAGGCAAAACTGATATTTTATTTGCAAATGTGACTGAATGCTTAGCCCCCCGAGTCCACAAAACCTTGTTCATTGGGAAAGGGCAGTTTAAGCCACAGGAGCTAATTCTGCAGGGTTATGGGGAAGAAAGCATAGCTTTCTAACAGGCTGAAGCAAGGGGGTGGCTCATGGAGTAAATAATTACATTATGATTCCTGGCATTGGCTAGTAATACTGAGCACATAGTGGAGAGTGTTTGTGGGCAGTCCGCTAAGGTATGGAGGGGAGAGGGTGCCTGTCCCTTTAACTCTTTATTAAAAGGTAAAGGGACTCCTGACCATTAGGTCCAGTCGTGGACAACTCTGGGGTTGCGGCGCTCATCTCACTCTATAGGCCGAGGGAGCCAGCGTTTGTCTGCAGACAGCTTCCAGGTCACGTGGCCAGCATGACTAAGCCGCTTCTGGCGAACCAGAGCAGGGCATGGAAACGCTGTTTACCTTCCCACTGCAGCAGTACCTATTTATCTACTTGCACTTTGACGTGCTTTCAAACTGCTAGGTGGGCAGGAGCTGGGACCGAACAACGGGAGCTCACCCCATCGCAGGGATTCGAACTGCCGACCTTCTGATTGGCAAGCCCTAGGCTCTGTGGTTTAGACTTTATTACTGACCCGCTTAGCTAGGGTCAGGCTGCATAGCAATTGGGGAACCACGATTTGCCCCCCCCCAAAGGTAGTTCCTGTGGATTTAATTGAAGGCCACCACGACTGCAGTTCAAGCTATAACTGGCAATATTTAAGCAACGAGCCTGCCATCAGTCCGTCTCATTAGACTTAACTTGTGAAACTCTATTCATAGGTGTGAACGACTCCCCTCTTATGACATGGGGTGAGATTGAAAGCACCCCTTTGAGGTTAGAAGGCTCAGACACACCGTATGTAGACAGGACCCCTGGACCAGCCTTCAAGGTATTTAACGGGCGAGGTTCTCAGAACATTGTCTGCTGTTCAAACTGGGTGGAGCCTGGCTGCACAAATGAGGTTGTAGCTTCCGGCTGGGGGGGTGGGGTGGGAGAAGTTGGCTGAAATAGCATGCCGGGTACAGCAATTGCCACTTGGGCATCAGAAACTGTTCTAGCCTCGGGCATATTAAAGCCCAGCTCTGAGTGTGCACCAGTGGGAACAAAGTGACAAAGGCAGTGGGGAATTAATTTGTGGGTCTTCTCCTGTCACCCACTTCCTATGGTGAAGGTGAGGGAATCTTGATGCCTGGTGTTTCTTTTCCCTGGTTCAACCCCATCACCCACTGCAGAGTCATCTGGGCCCAAAAGGCTTTAGAGCTCTTCTGCTGCATTTGCTGTGATAAATGGGCAAAAAAGTGAAGAAGAAATGCGTGTCTCCTAGCAGTCAAAATTGCATGCAGTGGGAGGGCATTGATGGACGGCAGTTATTATTAAAGCTATCCAGCACATCCATCCAGCACATCCAAGTTTAGAGATCAGTGTTTCATCTTTGCCCTTGATGTGTCTTTTCTGTAAAAAAACCCCACCAGTATACTTCTTGCAAAAGCGAAGCAACTCTAAGAAGGTGGCTCAGATAGAGAGTGTTTCGGTTTTGCACTCTTGGGTATTTTTGCAGTTAAGTGAGAAGGGCTGTGTGTGCAGATTTCTGTTTCTGCTTCAGGGCGACATACTAAGTTCTCACCATCACGTACTTGCCCAGTTGCCCGGTAGGTAGGTCAGGCTGAGAGATGGTGTCCAACCTCAGATCACCCAGTGAGCTTTGTCTCATACCTGGAATTATAACCTGGGTCTCTCTGAACCAATCCATTACTCTAGCCCAGGGGTAGCTGACAAGATGCCCTCTGGATGGTGGACTCCAACTCCCATAAGTCCTAAATAGCATAACTCAGTTGTTGAGGATGATGGGAGTTGTAGTCAGGCAACATCTAGAGAGCCACAGGTTCCCCTACCCCAGTCCTAGACTCTAAGGTCTCTTACTGCCCTAGTTTGAGTAGCACTGTTGAAGAGTTTAGAGCACAAGGTGTAGAGCTTCTGTGTTTGTCCTGGAAATGTTCAATGCAGGGATGGGAGGTGGAATCCAATAACATCCATAGGTTCCCCACCTCTGGCTACATTTCTTTCATAGCAAAAGCACAAGTGAGCAATGAACCTATGGCTGGAAGGATAAGTTTCTCATGTAGTACCGGTAAACCCTGGTCTTTTCCCAGATCCTGGAGCCTGGTCGCAGAGAGAGGCTAGGGCTTAAGATGGCCAACGAGGCAGCTGCTAAGAACCGAGCAAAAAAGCAGGAAGCTTTAAGAAGAGTCACAGAGAACCTCGCCAGGTGAGACTTTGCTAAAATCAGGGGCCTCTTTTCCAAAAATCTAACTGCAGCATTCAAGAGGAAAAACACACTGGGAGGAAAACAGGAAGACTTGGCATTTTTAGAGCATCAGAATGGCTAACCTGAATTTTGGATGTTGATTTTTAGAAGCAAAGAAATTGGATGTCTTAGCTTAGTGGTAGACATTGAATGCTCTGCTTCATCTGTTCTTCAGGTACCTTTTTGGTAGCCAGCGCTATGTCTGGGAGGTAAACAATCCTCTTTTCTGTGTACAGTGGTGCCCCGCAAGACGAATGCCTCGCAAGACGGAAAACCCGCTAGACGAAAGGGTTTTCCGTTTTTTAGTTGCTTCGCAGGACGAATTTCCCTATGGGCTTGCTTCGCAAGACGAAAATGTCTTGCGAGTCTTGAGATTTTTTTCCGCTTTCCCCCCCTTTATCTAAGCCGCTAAGCCTTTAATAGCCTTTTAGCAGCTAATCTGATAAGCCAATAAGCCTTTAATAGCCGCTAAACCGCTAATAGCGCTAATCCGTTAAGCCGCTAATAGGGTTGCTTCGCAAGACGAAAAAACCGCTAGACGAAGACTCTCGCGGAACGGATTAATTTCGTCTTGTGAGGCACCACTGTACTGTGTGAATTGTAGTTCTGTGTGAATAGGAGGTCTCCTAACAACTCTCAGCAGCCTCTGGAGGAAGCCATGACTGTTTAAAGCAGTGCCATGATGCTTTTACATGGATATTGCAGATAGAGCCTTACATAGTCACAATCAACCAATGCAAGTCGTCTCTTATCTAAAATTATTATTAGTTTTATTTTAAAAACCCATGTGTTTCTTCTTCTTCTTCTGTTTCTTCTAGTCTTACTCCCAAAGGACTAAACCCAGTGATGTCACCAGCCATGCAACGCTTAGTAAACAGGACTGCCAGCAAATTCACAGACAAAGCCCTCCGAGCCAGCTACACCCCATCCCCTGCACACCTGAGCACACCTGGCTACAAGACCCCGGCAGGTGGGCCGCAGACACCCACTGTCACCCCAACTTCCAGGACAGCGTCTCAAACACCAGAGACTCAGGACCCCACCTCAATCACGGACAATCTGCTGCAGCTGCCTAAAAGACGCAAAGCCTCAGATTTTTTCTGAGGAACGGCATCGCTCTTTCTCCTCTGCCGGGCCCTGCATAGCAGAGTATGCGGATATAGCAGACAAAATAGACACAGTAGCGACAAGAAGGGCTGCCCAGATTTTCAGGATTGTGTCTGCCCTCCAAACCTGTGTTGCTGCTGCACATTTGTCAGCTGCAAGGAGTAACACAGGTAGAAGAAGCCTTTTTTGGCCAGGCATCGGGTTTGATCTTTGTCGCCTTCTGTGCTACATGAGCCCAGGAGCCAAGGAAAGAAAGACTGTAGTTGAAATGATGTATGTGACACAAGCCTTTCTAAAGCATTTTGGGCGATTTTACAAAGGGGACCTTGTTTGCGTTTGGGTGCCTCTGATTCTGTCTGTACAGGCGTATGCTTTTATTTATTGAACACAGAAAGCCTTTGGATAAAGACTCGGCACAAATCTGAATCGAGGGTATGCCTGCGGCTCTCAACATCACAGTTGGAAAAATTCTGATGAATATATGAGAGCCACTTTCCAGCTTTACATTATTCATCCAGGGAATGACTTTCAGGCTGCTTCTCAGTGGCATGTGTCATTTGGCAGATGTGGAGAATTGGGATATCTGCTTGGGAGGGCCAGAGCTTTTGCTCTCAAGGTGCCTACAGGAAGCCTGGCTTTGGTTATGGGATGTGTAAGCGTGATATCCCACAAAGCTGGAAAAGGTTGGCTTTATTTTTAAAAATAGTAATTTATTTTTGTATATTTTGCTCTTCTACCAGCAGTATCCAGAGCAGCATACAACACACTTGGTAAAGCATATAGTAGATAATCAATAAAAAACTACATGTACAACTGAAGAACTGTGTGTAAAAGTAATAAGAACAGAAAACCTAAATAAAAAAGCCAACAGCAGCAGCAGAGGTAAAACATATTGGAAGTTTAAACTGGGAGCAGTATTAGGAAGTGTTAATACATTGAATCTTCAGGGAAATGTGCTTTCAGCTCACAAAGTGGGAGCCTGATTAATTTTGGGATTGGCAAAGTATGCCAGAGTCTGGCTATTTCTGTAGCCTTCAAATGTCATTGGACTCCAGCCCCCAGCACCCTTGACCATTGGATATGCTGGCTGGGGCTGATGGGAGTTGGAGTCTTAACAACATTTGGAAGGCCCCGGGTTGGCCATCCCTCTACCACAGGGAAGGCTTTCCAGGCAATGGAGTTCTGGTCTTAGAAAGCCATTTAGTCACTTTGTCTCGGAACCAATAAGTCATTGTGTGTTAATGATTTCCGGTGTGCAGAGATGGGTGGCGCTTGGAATTCACTGCACCACTTGTCTATATCAGAAGAACATAAGAAGGGCTAGGCTGGATCAGGCCAATGGTCTGTCTAGTCAGCATCCTGTTCTCACAGTGGCCACCCAGATGCCTTTGGGAAGCCTACAAACAGGACCCGAGCACAAGAGCTCTCACTTTTCTGGTTTTTAGCAACTGGAATTCTAAAGCATTTCGGCTTCCAAATGTGGAGGAAGAGTATAGCCATCATGTCTATTAGCCCTTGACAGCCCTCTCAATGAATTTGTCTACTATTCTACAGTCATTTGTCGATGGCCATCACTGCCTCTTGTGGGAGCGAGTTCCATTGTTTAACTATGCGCTGTGTGAAAAACCTCCTTTTATGTGTTGTGAATTTTCTAACTGTTGAGTTTCTTTGTCTTATGAGTTCTAGTGCTATGAGAGAGGGAGAAAAAAACTTCTTTATCCATTTTCTCCACGCCGTGCATCATTTTATAAACTTTGGTCATGTCACCTCTTAACTTGCCTTTTCCCGAAACTAAAAAGTCCTAAATGCTGCAACTTATCTAGAGGTTTAATGAAAGTTGCCATGACTCTCTATCGCAAGGGCTACCAGCACAGCACAGCAACATTCAAATCTCATATTTCCCCTAGTTGTGTGAGCAGCTTTTTACTCTTGTAAAATAAAACCAGGCAGAGATTACTTAGTGTATTGTACGTTAAATCATGGGACACAGCTGGCACTGTGGGTTAAACCACAGAGCCTAGGACTTGCTGATCAGAAGGTCAGTGATTCGAATCCCCGCAACAGGGTGAGCTCCCATTGCTCGGTCCCTGCTCCTGCCAACCTAGCAGTTTGAAAGCATGTCAAAGTGCAAGTAGATAAATAGGTACCGCTCTGGTGGGAAGGTAAACGGCGTTTCCGTGCGCTGCTCTGGTTCGCCAGAAGCGGCTTAGTCATGCTGGCCACATGACCCAGAAGCTGTACGCTGGCTCCCTCGGCCAATAAAGCAAGATAAGCGCTGCAACCCCAGAGTCGGCCACGACTGGACCTAATGGTCAGGGGTCCCTCTACCTTTACCTTACATTAAATCGTAATAGCAAGGTCAAGGTATCTCTGATCTGTCACTGACTTTGTTTTGTTAGACATCACCAGAAGAGGGGAGACTTGAGAATATATAACATTTCCAGGATGTTTCTTAATACCATCTTAGCAAAAGACAATTATTGGGGGGCCACCAGGAGCCCATTTTCTTTAAACAAAGCAGCCTATAGCATGGATGGGGGAAGCTGTGGTCCTCTGTACGTTCCTGTACTCCAGCTCCCATCATCCTTGATCATTGGACCTGCTGGTTGCAGTTGATGGGTGTTGGAGTCCGTTAGTATTTAGAGGACCGCAGCTTCCCCATCCTTTGCTGATAGGCTTATTCTATCAGGAATGCCTATGAAAAATATTTGCAGGAAACATAAACAAATATGTGAGTCGGTCGGGACTTCTTGAGTCAAATGCACACTGTTCTTGCATTTTTGCTGTAAAATTTTTTCACATGTACCGTATTTTTCGCTCCATAGGACGCACTTTTTCCCCTCCAAAAATGAAGGGGAAATGTGTGTGCGTCCTATGGAGCGAATGCAGGCTTTCGCTGAAGCCTGGAGAGCGAGAGGCATCGGTGCGCACCGACCCCTCTCGCTCTCCAGGCTTCAGGAAGCTATCCGCAAGCCTTGCAAGCCCGGTGGGAGTTCCCGCGGGCTCACAAGGCTTGCAGGCAGCAGCCTGCAGCCCCGGAGAGTGTCCGCAAGCCTTGCGCGCCCGGCAGGAGGTCCCGCCGAGCGCGCGAGGCTTGGGGCAGCAGCCGGTCGCCCGAAGCACGGGAGCCCTCCGGAGGGCTCCCGTGCTCGGGCGAGTGCTTACAAGCCTTGCGCGCCCGGCAGGAGGTCCCGCCGAGCGCGCAAGGCTTGGGGCGGCAGCCTGTCGCCCGGAGCACGGGAGCCCTCCGGAGGGCTCCCGTGCTTCCGGCGAGTGTCTGCAAGCCTTGCGCGCCGGGCAGGAGGTCCCGCCCGGCGCGCAAGGCTCTGGGGCTGCAGCCTGTCGCCCGAAGCACGGGGAGCTCTCCAGAGGGCTCCCCGTGCTTCGGGCGAGTGTCTGCAAGCCTTGCGCGCCCGGCGGGAGGTCCCGCCCGGCGCGCAAGGCTTGGGGCTGCAGCCTGTCGCCCGAAGCACGGGAGCCCTCCGGAGGGCTCCCGTGCTCGGGCGAGTGTCTGCAAGCCTTGCGCGCCCGGCAGGAGGTCCCGCCGAGCGCGCAAGGCCTGGGGCGGCAGCCTGTCGCCCGGAGCACGGGAGCCCTCCGGAGGGCTCCCGTGCTCCGGCGAGTGTCTGCAAGCCTTGCGCGCCGGGCAGGAGGTCCCGCCCGGCGCGCAAGGCTTGGGGCTGCAGCTAGTCGCCCGAAGCACGGGGAGCCCTCCGGAGGGCTCCCGTGCTCGGGCGAGTGTCTGCAGCCTTGTGCGCCCGGCGGGAGGTCCCGCCCGGCGCGCAAGGCTTGGGGCTGCAGCTTGTCGCCCGAAGCACGGGGAGCCCTCCGGAGGGCTCCCGTGCTCGGGCGAGTGTCTGCAAGCCTTGCGCGCCCGGCGGGAGGTCCCGCCCGGCGCGCAAGGCTTGGGCTGCAGCTTGTCGCCCGAGCACGGGGAGCCCTCCGGAGGGCTCCCGTGCTCGGCGAGTGCTCTGCAAGCCTCGCGCGCCCGGTGGGAGGTCCCGCCGAGCGCGCGAGGCTTGGGAGGTAGCCTGCAGCCCGAAGCACGCGAGGCTTGGGCGGCAGCCGCGGGGGATAATTTTTTTTATTCATTTCCCCCCCCCCCCAAAACGAGGTGCGTCCTATGGACCGGTGCGTCCTATAGAACGAAAAATACGGTATTTCTTCATGTAGATTGCAGTGGTGGGGGAAGTAGGTCTCAGTAAGCAAGGCATTGCAAAATCAACTTCCTGAACTATTACTCAGAATTAAACACCAAGTTGTCTCTGTGCTTGGAAAACCCCGACAAAAACAATAAGCAAACTTCACAGTTTCACCATCCAGTTGCAGATATCACTATGGCTATATTCACACCTTAACATTTAAGCACTATACCACTTTAAATAGTCACAGTTTCCCCCCAAAGAATTATGGGACCTGTAGTTTGTTAAGGATGCTGAGAGTTGTTAGGAGACTACTGTGTTCACAATTCCCAGAGTTTACCTATGAAAATGGATTGACTACTGAACCACTCGATTGTAGGTCTGAGAGGGGAACCGGGTTGTATAGGGAGGTTTGTTCTGTTTGCAAAAAACACTGTGTATTATAGACAGGAAGAAAGCAAAGCTCTTATTTCCCCTACAAAACTATAGGCCCAAGTAAACCTATGGCACGTCTACATCACAAACTTAAACTGTTCTAACAATCAATTAGTGAACTGACTTCCTCTCTTCGCTGCAGAGCTTTAGGGCAGAGATGCAGAACCTGTGGTCCTCTAGTCTAGATCATGTTTTTGGGCTCCCATCCCCATCAGCTGCAGCCAGCATGGCCAATGATCAGGGATAATTGTCATGGCTGGGCAACATCTGGAGGACCCCAGATTGCCTACCTCTTTGGCACAGCATCCTTTGGGGAAAGTGGCACTTTAGTTAGCTTGGCTTGGTGCGGAGGAGAGCTGAATCTGCATCGCATTAAGCTCCAAACCTACATCTAAATAACCAAATGAAATTCGGGCAGCTTAGCAGGGAATGATTATTCCAGTCTTTTTCTGGTGTGTAAGGCTCTCTGCCAAAAATTGTACAGTGATACCTTGGTTCTCAAAAGCCTTGGTACTTGAACAACTTGCAACCCAAACGCTGCAAACCTGGAAGTAAGTATTCCGGTTTGCGAACTTTTTCCGGAAGCTGGATGTGTTTTGTTTTGAGTGTTACGCTTCCGATTTGAGTGCTACACTTTCGTTTTGAGTGTTACACTGAGGTCTGTCTGTTTTTGCTATTTATTTTGCGTTTTTTTGGCTCTTTTTTATTTTTGTGACTGTGTGGAACCCAGTTCAGCTACTGATTGATTGATTGTGTGACTGCAGTACATTGTTTATTGCTTTCATTTTATGGATCAATGGTCTCGTTAGATAGTAAAATTCATGTTAAATTGCTGTTTTAGGGGTCGTTTTTAAAAGTCTGAGATGGATTAATCAATTTTGCATTACTTTCTATGGGAAAGCGCGCCTTGGTTTTGGAACACTTTGATTTTGAAATGGACTTCCGGAACGGATTTAGTTTGAGAACCACGGTACCACTGTGTTAAGGAAGCGATTGCTTCTTACAATTTGGAGTTGTCCATTGACATCTAACATTATTTATTTTGCAGAGGGAGAAATGCAGGCAAATTACATAGATATGTCCTTTTGTTTGTTTGGTCTGGGTTGAAGAAAAAGAGTTTGGATTTGATATCCCGCTTTATCACTCCCCGAAGGAGTCTCAAAACGGCTAACATTCTCCTTTCCCTTCCTCCCCCACAACAAACACCCTGTGAGGTGAGTGGGGCTGAGAGACTTCAGAGAAGCAAGACTAGCCCAAGGTCACCCAGCAGCTGCATGTGGAGGAGCAGGGAATCGAACCCGGTTCACCAGATTGCGAGTCCACCGTTCTTAACCACTACACCACACTGGAGTCAAGCAAGCCCTTTTACAGGCTCACAAAGCCCCCATACGCACTAAATGTTTAAAGCCATGCCACACCCACTTTGAATTGCCATAACTTCCCCCAAAAAAATTCTGGGAACTGTGGTCTGTTAAGGGCGCTGGGAGTTAGGAAACCTATTTCCCTCCCAGGGCTACAATTATTATTTGTTATTGTTTGTTTATTATTCATTCACAGACTGACAGTGAAACCACTTTGAGAATTGTAGTTCTGGGCATCTGGGTCTCCTAACAACTCTCAGCTCCCTTAACAATCCACAGTTCCCAGAATTCTTGGGGGAAGCCATGACAGTATAAACTGTTACAGGGCTGCAGGTGGGGCCTAAAAGATGGAGTGGGTTTCAAGAAGGAGCTTGAGACACTCTTTGCAACTGCCTGCCTCTCTTTAGTGAGGCCTTGGAGAGCGTAAAACCTTGTATTTTCAAAGGCACGTCAGCTTAATTCCAAGGTGATTAAAAACACCACCCGTTTTGGTTCATAGGCAGTGGGCAATTACAGTAAAATATTTATCAAGGTATAAAATATTTAATAATATTGTGTCCTTTTATAGGTATCGATATATATATAAGTATAAAAGTGCTTATAAAGAAACCTCTTTACTTTCTTTTCATTTAGTCTGCTTTTCTGATTGCTTCCTCCACTAATCTTTTATCTTCTCCTGACCCCAAAACCACCTTGTCCATTTGATTGGGCATTTGGGCTACCTATTCTCTGTTGCCTGAGTGAATGGGCATCTGCTGGTCCAGGTGTATCAGATTTCCGTGTTCTCAAACTGGGGCAGCACGACATCGTCTGCCAGGTTGTCCGGTTTCACGA